GACTGACGATGAACGATATTGGTAGCAAATAAAAACTCATTGATTTATCTCTTGTCTTGGACATATTCCATTTTATTTTATTTGAGTTAAAATCATCATGCGTATCCTTACGGATATCTATTACATTATAGATGTTAAAAATTAATAAGCTAAAATCCGCATTAAAAAACCACGGATCTTAGCTAATTAGTTTTTAGAGTCTACATCGACTAGTTTCGTTAACGACAAATACGTCGACGGCCCATTGCTACTTCTAACCTAACTTGTCCGAGTCAGGGTGCCCCAAGTCCCGAGCTCGCTTCGATCGCTTTTATGGTCAATTATTAACAATTAAGTTATATTTATGACAGAACAATCATCAACAACGATCGAAGAAACGATATTTGGAAAAAATTAATTAGTTTAAGGGATAAAAGTTAAATTTACAATAAGGGGTCCAACTTAAGAGTACGGCTGACCCTACAGGCCAATCTTGGAACTTCCAGCTCAAAACGTCATAATTTTTATAAACCAGGTTTCAAGGATAGTGAGTGTGGCACTAATGGCATCGTAAGATGATAGTCTGTAATCTGATAGAGTAAATGAAAATTGATGGCTCTGGAAAATTAGATTTAACATTGTACATTTTTTAAAGTGGAGTTATCTGAGCTTCATCTCACAGCTATGACTAACCACATACTACACTATATACTACATATTCAACATTTTACGGGTGGCATTACATCTTAGTCCTCAGGGTTGCGATGTATTTGCAATCTGTAGCTGTTTGTTAGCTTTGAGATCGTAAATGTCCATGGGCCACAGTTTACTTACCATCAGGTTAACTGTACGCTACTTTGCCTTCTCCATGATGTAAAAAAGCTTACGGGACAATAACACAGTGCAGTATTAAAGTTGACTTGGTGCCCTCGACCAATCGTCTTCTATTGTTTGCCAACATTTGAAAGTCAGAGGTCTGGAAATGATCTGAGCAAATGACACTGTTTCTTGTGGGAAGCCAGGTAAGCCTAATTATTACAAGATTACTTCCATATCAGCCATACCAAGTCGCAACTTGTCGTCGGGGACAGTCCTCGCACAGCACTGAAGCAACGTTAAAAAAGTCAGAACAGCGCTGAATGCGGTGGAGTAGCGCAGAACTCTGGCTTAGCATGCGTGTAATATAACATACTTGTCCTCATTTTATCCCTGTGTACGGCGACAGCTGAATAGACGCGGAAAGCTGAACGGATGCGTACGCACCTCCATACAAACCTGGCGTTTTCAATGGACAAAAGCTGAATTGAGTTGACTAAATGTGGTTAGTCCCAAAATCCTAGCTTACGAGTTTATTTCGATGAAGATGTAAAGGTCCCAGGACCAGCAGGAATTATTTATCTATGACTTGAATTGAAGCAAGGAATTTTGTGATGGTGTTTTGGCGGCAACTTGACCGGCGGCGGATTGCTGCTCCTGTATTATTGTCTAAATAATGGTTTGAAGTAGATTTTGACGTAAAAGTGGAGCGATTTTGTGTATTAAATGTCAGCGCATGTTAACTATTAGTGGAAAAGGTGAAACAAGTGCTCCGATGGTGATGTGAATCTCAAGATAAGGTGTCTGTCTGCTTAAGCGCTTTGAGATTGAGATACCGTTACCAACTCTCTGCTGGCTCAAGTTGCCTTCAAGATCTCCCAAAAACTATGTAACGCATCAAAATATTGTGAAGAAGTGTACTGTAAGGAATTATTATCACTTGATACTGAGATAAATGAAGACAAGGCTTAAAAGATAACCATCCTAGCGAAAAATCTTAATAAAAAACAACGAATTTCTAGATTTTTTTAATAACTGGCTTTACGGTCCTGGGTTCTAGCCCTTCTGAGCCTGAAGTTACAATGTATAATTATCCTTCATAGTACACTGCTTCACAATATGTTGATGCGTCAAATTGTGCAGCCCTTGGAAGATTTTGACGGCAACTTAAGCCAGCAGACAGCGACAGTTGGCGATGGTATCTCAAGGCGCCTAAGTAGCCAAATACCTTATCTTGAGAATCACATCACCATCAAAGCACTTGTTTCACCGTTTCCACTAATAGTTCACATGCGCAGACATTTAATACACAAAATCGCACCACTTTTACATATCAAAATCCACTTCAAACTATTATTTAAACAATAATACAGGAGCAACAATCCGTCGCCGGTCAAGTTCCCGCCAAAACTCCGAATTTGTAGAGTAGACCCATAGACTTGAATACACTGGCGTATAGACACCCCCCCCCCCCCTCCTCCACGGAAATATAGTTGTACGATGTACATGTATTTCCATGCATAACTGACATACTTATTTCTAATACCACTTTCAAAAATATTAATGATTTAAATTGCACCCATTAATTTTAAAAGGTAAAATCGCTCACCTTATTACGTCGATATAACTAACTAATTAGATTTGGATACTATACAATATGAAAAAACTGCACTCTGCTCTACATATTTATTTATCTATGACTCTGCTTGAATATAACTGCACCGTTAAAAATGCATAAAATCCAATATTAAGTGCAAAACGTTAATATAAGATAATATAAAATATACAACTAAGATGATGGGAGGGTGCCATACACCAATAAGTAAATAAAATAATTATCGCCAACTGTCGCACAAAAGTGATGAAAAAATTTTTACATAAAAGTAAATTCATGGAATTGGTGAATTCTGGAACGAAACATATTTTAGTCAATTTTTCCTAATAAAAATTATTATTGTTTCATATTAATATGTGTATTATTAAACTTTCATATTTCGATAAATGTTAAGGACTAGGGTAAGAGCGAAACACCCCAAACACGACTATATTAAATTACTCTCTGGGGTTGTTTCACCACTAATTTATTAAAAGTTTATTGGGAAATAAATATATTTTTATTGAAACGAAGGTACTCATTGGACGATACGGGTTTGGCGGATGGGAGCTAGGCGACAAAAAGTGTAAGATTTTTTCGTCACTACCCCTTGTGTAGACGGCCTTGGCGGCGAAATAAGGAAGTGAGATGGAATAATATCCATCTCCCTCGCACGTTTTCTTATTTTGCCATGAAAGAAATATTATTTTATTTCAAATGACGCTTCATTAGTAGAAAAGTATAAAGTAATAGTAGACTTATTATCATTTTAGCTGTATGAATTTAAAAACATAATGATCTTAACAGAGTAAAGTGCACCAAGTGTCTAAGGATGGATGGAAAATGGTCACTCATTTATGGACTGACCGCGGCAAGTGCAACTTAATCTCGCAGATCTATTGATCCACGGAGCTATTACTTAACCACGAGTTCCTCTTCTCTACGACTAATGCTGTAGGCGATGAACCACACTATTTAAGCCCTCGGCACAATGCCGTCGGCCATCAAACATGAATCGGGCTTCGAGCTTTGTGAGTATCAAATACTATGGAATTTATGAAAAACTTTACAAAGCGCAAGTTCGGCCTCACATGGAATACTGTTCTCATCTCTGGGCCGGAGCACCCCAGTGACAGCTCCTTCCACTTGACCACATCCAGCGCAGAATCGTCGACGACCGAGTTCTTTCTGATCGGCTTGATACACTAGCACTGCGTAGGGATGTTACATCTTTTTGTATTTTCTATCAAATTTACCACGGGGATTGCTCTGAGGAATTGCTCGGATTAATTCCAGCCGCCAAATTTCACTAACGCACATCGCGTCAAAATTCACGATACCATCCTCACCATCTGGATGATTGGCGGTCCACGACTGTGCGTTTTACTAGGAGTTTTCTTCCTCGTACAACTTCCCTGTGGAATTGTTTACCACCGGCGATTTTTCCGTACCGATACGATTTAGGGATCTTCAAGAAAAGAGCTTACACCTTTCTAAAAGGCCGGCAACGCTACTGCATTTGTGGTGTTGCGGTTGTTCTAAATTTTTTATTATCACATTAGTATTGTTATAACAACATTGTCTGTCTTTTGTTTTAGGTAATTCAACAGTTTTGTTGTTACCATTTCTTGTATCATCAATTTCATTTTTTTAAGCAGAGTTTGTATCCCAATTAAACCTTTTACGCATGTAACATATCATTGGCGAATTCATCGTAACCGCCATAAAGGAAGAAGAAGAAGTAGGATAATTTGATTTTACAGTAATAAGTATAAATTATAATTAACTAGGTATGTTATCTGAATTCGCAATGTTAGTAGCTGCATAAGGAATCCATTACCCTATATCATCCAGTGGGGGCTACAACAGGTGACAGAGGTAAGTTGAAGCAATTCCTGATAACAAAACATCCCTGTGAGGCAATATATGGAGGTGGCCTATGTGCAGCAGTGGACTTTGATAGACTATAATGTTGATGATTTATCAGAAAAAGTAAACTTTTGGTTCATAGCATCTCATTGTCAGAAAAGAAGCCTTTGGTTCATAGCATCTCATTGTCACAAAAGAAGCCTTTGGTTCATAGCATCAGAATCTCTTCCCATATCATTTTTTCTTTATAAAATAAAGTAAATATGTTATACTTACTTACGTTCAGATCTTAGATCATTCAATGGTCTAAGTTTCAGATACACAGTGTTAAGTTATAGGGCTGCCAACATGCAAAATAAATCGGTTTACTTCCTAGAACCGGTACATAACAGTTTTCTTAAAAACCGGTTTTTATCAGGTTTTTGTAACACCGGTCGACATCACTATTGCTAATGCCAATGCCATACTAGAAAAAAAAAAAACAAAAACCATTTTCGCTTGCTACTTATTTATTTATCTATGATTGAAGCCTAAAATATGAAAATTTACCTCAATACATATTTAAAACTTAATAATATTTATAAGTAAACTGTTGTAAAGAGCTGAAATATTGCCATTCATTTTACGATCAAAAGAAAAAATATATCCAATAATAGGCAAAGACAACGTAATGATGATAATGTATGTCGAAAAATATTCTGAAAGTTGTTGTTAAATAAAGAACATCAATAAAAACTGTGTTATGGCTCCTGGAAACAAAGAGAGGCATCCCGGACATACGGGTACTATTCCCAAAACGAAAGCAAGAAATAATTGCAATGTACCCCAAGAAGCTGTGACACCAACAAGGAGAGATATGACAACAAACCTTGTGACGGTATAAAAATTTTCTCATAGAATATTTGGTTATTAAATCGTATATTAATCAGAAAAATTTTTATCCTATTAATTTAAATTATTAACACTATAGATGGACAAAAACATTTTAGTAACTTTTTCAATCAATATACAATATGATTAGTTCTGTCAACCATATAAACTAAAAGTTTTTGCTACCACATGCTTCATATTATTTTTAGAAACTTGGGAGTGATTTATATTTGGATGTTTGCCAAATTCGTTTAGTTTCAAATATCTACGCTCAGGAGTTTGTTCTAATCTAATAATATTCTTAAGGTATTTTTGCATAATTAAATCTATAGCCTAGTAGATGTATTTATAATAAAATTAAATTTACAGCCATATGGGAGCTTGTTTTTCTAAATTCAGTCTGAAGAAGGTATTCGTTCATCACACTCTTGAAGAATTACAAAATTTTTTAGAAGATATTTCTACTTCATTATTTCGTTCCCATATTTTTTATTTCTGTAAATAATTAAGAATTTCTAAACCTATAATTTTTAGACATCTTTGGATTGGGTTCCTGTTTCTGAGTACAATACACGAACTAATTGTAATCAATCAAGAAAACCAGCTAACAATACATCAGATCAAGAATTGGCAGACTTAGGTAAGTAGTTGATTTTTTTTAAATTAGAATAATACTAATAAATTATTTACTTGTATTTACTTATTTTAGACAACTCTGTTTCATATGAGAGTGGATTTGGAAGATTTGTTCCAGTAAGACCCCAGCCTCGAGCATTACCTTTGACTGTTCAGAATCGAGAAAATATTTCTGTGGATCACAATGATGATGGTGCAAGCTCATCTATTTCCTCTCACACTTCGCATCACTTTCAAAATGGTATAGTAAATACATAAATTAACATATTCCTTCTCTACCAATTGGGGAAGCATATTCATACAATTTCAATAATGGAAAATGATGAAGAAAGGTGTTAATAAAATCAATCTTATATTCTAACTAAATTCTTTAAAAAAGAGCACTAGTGGTGCTATAAATACTACTAGTTTTCAGTTATTATATTTCAATGCATGGCATAGTGTTCAGAGTAACTGGCCAGAGCCAACATTGTGCTAAAACATTCATGAGTTCTCATGTCTCTGATGTTGCATCCTATACTCATCATAATCATCACTATTACAGCCCATCACAAGTCAACTGCTGAAAATGGGCTTCCACCAAGAAATGCCACATATCTCTGTCCTGAATCATCATTAACTGCATCCATCAACTTCCTGTGTCTCTTACCAGGTTGTCACTCCAATTAGTGGGTGTCATCATAGAGTTTGCATTATATGTAAATCAGAGATATCATCTCTGATGTACATACAATCGAAACCAAATATAATGACAATTCGGTTATTACGACCAAATGGTAAGGTCACGGCCGAATCCCTAATAAACAGTTAAGTAAACATACCGCCTGTAACAACATCAGATACAGCGACATATCGCTTAGAATGACGGAACTTTATCTATATTCATCGGCTATAACAACCAAACGTTGTGCTTGTAAAATAAAACAATATGAATAATTTTCAAACTTGTTGTATTCTATGAAGGAATGTTTTGACTTATTATTGCCTACGCACTTTCTCCTACCCCATACGAACCTCTTGTGTGCTCTTTGCCATTTGTCCTTGCATGTTCCACGACTCATTTTGTGCGATGTTAGATTTTGATTGTGTGTTTTCGCTTTACTATGTCACAAAAACAGAGGAAAGTGTGTAATATTGAAGAAAAGTCACACGTTATATGGAGGTTACAAAATGGCGAGTCAAATAGTGAAATTGCAAAAGAATGTGGAGTCTCACACTCTACAATATCAACAATTTGGAAGAATAGAGATAAAATAAAAGCTCTTTTCGAGGAAAATTCTTTGAAAATTAAACAATCAAGGACATCTGAACATAAAGTTATGGAAGAGGCTTTATTAACATGGTTTAAACATCAGAGGGCAAACAACGTCCCAATAAGTGGTCCGATCCTGCAACAAAAAGCCAACAACCTTCGCTCGGCTTATGGGGAAGGAAAATTTCAAGTGCTTGTCGTCTTGGGTACAACATTTTCGTGCTCGTCATAATATTGTGGCTGGAAAAGTTTGTGGTGAAGCGGCTGGCGTTCCGAAAGGTGTGACTGAAGAGTGGCTCTTTCATAAGTGGCCTACACTGTGCGAAGGATACAAACCAGAAGAAATCTTTAATGTGGATGAAACCATATTGTTTTTGAATTTAACCCCTGACAAAACTCTAAAATTCAAAGGTGAGCAATGCAAGGGTGGGGAAGTTGTTTAGAACCAGAATTACAGTGTTGGTTGCTGTGAACATGACTGGATTGTGTAAAAAAAAAACTATTAGTGATAGGAAAAGCTAAAAAACTGCATTGCTTCAAGAACATACACTCGTTGCCTGTAACAAATGAAAACAACACTAGCTCCTGGATGACATCTCTTATTTTTGAAAAATGGCTGCGAAACTGGGATGCAGAATTAAAATATAGAGGAAACAAAATTGTTCTTTTAGTAGACAACTGTCCTGCTCACACACAATGTCACCTCTGTATTTCAACCCATGGAGTGATAAAAGCTTTAAAAACATAGTACAGAAAACTTCAAGTACTCCAAATGCTTCAGAATATTGAAAACTGCGAAGATACAAAAACTCTTAGTGATCTAGATGCAATTCTAATAATATCGGAAGCTTGGGAAACAGTCACACAGAACACCATAGCAAATTACTTTCGCCACGCAGGTTTTGAAGATCTTTCTCAATCACAAAAGGAGGATGATGATGATATTCCGCTAGTGAGAAGAATGATAAAATCTGCCACAGATGAAGATGACAACTTACCACTAGCTCAATAGCTCAATTGGCTGCTCAGTTACACAGATCTACTAACACAGAACCATTGATTGAAATAGAGGAATTAATTGGAATAGATGACAATGTTGATGTGTGCACCGTAGTTATTGAGGAAGAGATTCTTGCAGAAGTTGTAAGTAATAATCGTAACACTGATGAAGAAAACTAAGACCCCCAAGAGCAGTTCCAACCAACAACACTATGCGAGGCTTTTAACTGAATGCTAATGATAATCAAGCAATCTTGACGAGAATGAAACGCAAAACACATTTGAGACTCAGCTTAAAAAAAAAACAGACCAAAATGACTGATTACTTTAAAAACTAATTGTAGTCTATAAGCTGTACTGTTGGTCCTGCAAGTTTTTATGTATACTTGTGTATATTGCTTACAACAACTATCGGATATAACACCCGAAGTTATATGGTCCCTTCAATGTCATTATATCCAGTTTTGACTGTATATGCAAACTCCAGCTTGAAGTATAAACAAGTGTTCCAATTAGTACTCTGGATAGAATTGATATGATGACTCAGCCAGTAGGGACACCTGTGTCTTGGTAAAGAAAAGACAGCATTAAGGTTAGAGTGACCCCAGACCTTGATATTGCAGAAATTTACAGCGTGCGTTATAGATTAATTGGTCTGAATGCCCTGAACAGTTAACCTGAACAAAAGCTGCTGTGTGTCTCTAGTCTCTACCATATAATACATATATCATCACTGGCAACGCACTAATTCTACGCTCCTGTTTTGAGTTATGAGGTATACATGACTAGATGTGTCATAACCCCCTGAACACTGCCCAGCTGAGTTGGATCCGTTAATTTACCTAGTCGGACAATACACGCCCATGACCGTGCAGTGTCGGTGTAAATATATCTACTTTTCCCATATCGTCGCGTGGGTGGTGTAAGAGGCGACAGAGAAACGTACTGGGAAATAGAGAGCAGTTTGTCAAACTACCAAAAAAAAATATTGAAAAATTAATTAGTTGTGTTTATAATAGACAATTACAATAAACCTAGCAAGCTAACAGCATAGCAAAGTGGCGAAGCAATCAGCTTTGTAGCGGTTTCTAACGGTTGCCGTTGAGCAATCAGTTTCAAATAGGAGGTTCAGATGCCTGGGTGATCAGTAATCGATTGCTGAAAACAGAATTTGAAAATTCAAAACCGTTCTCGAGATAATCGTGGGACAGACGGACAGACATTGTGAAATCAATAAGTGACTTCGAAAGCTTCGCCACTTAATAATCGAGAGGTTTCGAAACGGTTATGGGCTGAAGTTGGATTGGAAATGGATATAGCGTTTCCAGATATTTAAAAAAATGCGTCTTCACTCTGTTAAGTTAACTACAGAATACCAGCAACGTTCAATGTCGGCACAAGTGGTACACTGTTGCAGTGTAAGCACATACACGTCCGAGTTACTCGTCCGGGTAGTTCTGTCCGTCATCGGCCTACAAAATCTGTTTTGGTGTACACGTACTGTTAGGATCATTAAACAAAGTGCTGAGGTCATCCAGCGACTATAATGAATATTGATATAGTGTCGTTGGCAAATAAGTAAGTGATGTACTCCGCATTTTTGTTAGTACCCTATGCTTTCCAGTCCAGTAGGTTAAAAATGTCTCCCAATGCAGAAGTTGAGAGTTTCGCAGATATAACATTACCAGCATTCGGCATTTCGGTCTCCGGTTTGGTATAGATGGGTCGACCTGACCGGGGAAGGACCACACTCTCATAGAATTCCAGCGTAAAATAACAGCTTAATACTGCTGTATTTCTTATTTTGAGTGTAGGGAACCAAAGACCCCTTTTTATAGGAAACAAAGCATTCCAACTTAGCCCTCAGGGGTGACGACAACATCTGCATCTGTGTTTTGATTCTTAATCGAGGATAGATGTAGATATACAGAATAACTATGATTTCTTCTGTATTGTGTAGGCAGTTTATATACATAAATTTCACACAGACAAACATCCACGCCTGGAACAATTATTATTAGGCCATACAAATCCTTGTTCCGTGCATGAATAAAAAACCGCGGACCTCTGCGCCGTACATCATTGCTAAGTCACAGCGCCACGGAGCCGTCAAAATATATTTATCTATAATATTATGTGCAATGCACTTTGTGCAGCCATTTTACAATTATTCAGAAATAGACACGAAAATCAACCAAGGTCGATGTCATCACCATCACCATTACCGTTAACTACTCCAAATCTACTTGCTGGTTTTATTAATAACTTAAAACAATAATTGGGTAGCATATTTGGAAGTAAAGACTAGAAATGAGTTGGGGGGGGGGGGGGGGGGGGGGGAGGGGTGACTCGGTCTAGGCCTAGTCGGTTTAAATAACCTATCATGTAGAGGATGTCATGGGGGTCATGGTTGAATAGGGGCAAAAAGTTCTCATTACACTCCTAGGGGGTCAAAATGGCCAAAAACCAAAATATTAAAAATTCTTATTTCGGCTATAACTCCGACTCCTTCGGAGGTTCTTACACAGTCTTCCCGCATCCCATTTGTTTAACTTTTGTATGAAGTTTTACATTAAGTATCCTTTAGTACATTGCTTCAAAATTTTACTGTCTTTCAATTATATGATTCTTTTTCCCTCTTGAAAATTTACTGATGGACATGCTACACTTGTCCGTTAGGTTCATATAAAAATACAACAATCATGCCTAGCTAGCTAATTGTGAATTGCCGGCATGTCAATTTGCCTGTAAGGATCAGCAAAATTTTTATGAAGAGCTACTAATATCAAGATAATAAAATGTTAAAAGTGCTAAAATTGCCACTCTGTCTCGAGCATGGCAATTACAACAAATTCTTCCTACTGATAAGGAAGTAAATGACCATAAATTTAATTATCATTGAAAAGAAGTGCAGCACTTCTCCGTCCAACAGTTAGATATGTAATCCTGCTTGTCCTTAAATTGCATATTAAAACCTGGCCTGGCATATTAATGGGTTCACTTGTGCTACAAGTCGCGGCACGTAAGTCTAGCGCTGAACGAAACGTAGAGGGGACGCGCACGAATTGATTTGCATGAATGCGACTGGAGAGCCAATCAGCGCGACTTATGCGCAATAAGCCAATCAGAGCGACTTATACGCAATAGTGGTCACCGCTAGACTTTCGTTCCGCTGCTTATACCAATCTTCAGTTTCTATCCTTATAAATTATTTTGTAACTTTATAATGATTCTAGATCTAGAATATATTTTTTAGGTTCAATTCCTCATACCAATCATGCAGCGGCTGCTGTAATGATTGTAAACCCCACAACACCAAATGCTGTAACAGGGAATATGTCACAACCTTTTAACGTAAGTGTTTAAAAATATTTAATTTATCATCATCATTACAGACCTTCATAAGTCGACTGTTGAACATAGGCCTTCCCCAAGGAATACCGCGCCTTCCCCTCTCTTGGACCTTGGATAATCCTATAATACGCCAGCGTAACTTGTCTATCTCTTCTTCCAACTCCAGGATCTTATCGTCAGTCCTCAGGGTGCGAGCGTTGTATGTTGCCAAGTCGAGTCGTCTTAGGTGGCAACCGAACCTCCACCGGAGATTCTTAGCACCCCCTGCCCCGCCATTACCATGGTCGCCACCGTAGCCAGGAATTGCGGGGCCGCCGGGGATTGGGGGCCGTCTCTTCGTAACTTTCATCATGAGGGGATAGTTGCCACTCTTGGCGAGCGGGTTGGCAACCGCAGTTGTTTATTGTAATATTGCTGTTATCAGGAAGATGCTGCTGTTCATCTCCTGCCTGTTTGTCACTGTCGCCTCTTACGACACCCCCGGGAAGATATGGGGTAATGGTTATTCTTAACTGCCACTACATGGCACTAATTAATTTAAATAGTCACTAAAAATTATTGAAAAATTAAATTGGTTAGCAAACGATCCATCAGCAGATATAAATTAATAAATTTATTGATATATATATATATATTTTATATTGAAGTGACAAACGAATTTACAGTCCATCTCATGGTAAGTGGATACGGTAAGCCATGGACACCTGCAACCAACCAAATAATAAAAAACCTCAACCATCTTCGAACAAAGAAGGCTACACATGCGTTGTCATCTTTTTGAACTAATACAAATGCCCCGCAGTCTGTTATTAACCTTCAAGCTGAGCACAGCAGTGTAGGCACTATTTCTAGCCGGCAGAAATAGTTGAGCGAGTAGCACCTATCCAGACATTCAACTAAGCAGAAAAGCTCATACCACCTTGAAAACATCAAAGTGAATATGAAAGCCAATTGCATATTTTCATATAGCATCAGATAACTTCAATAATCAAGTAATTTCAGTATAGAAATGTCAGTCATACCTATAATGTATTTAAAGTTATACTAAAAATTTCCATTATTCTGGATATAAAAACATTCAAAAGCCATTCAGGCCTTAAACTTTTTGTGGATTGGATCAATTTTACTACATGAGATTGTGGGTAATATGTTTACTATGAATAAAATTTATATTCATGCCTTCTGTATGCATTGATATTTTTATTTACATAGAAATCTTAGTGACAATCAACTTTTTTCTAATATAAGTATAAATAATTTTTCAGGCACCAAATCAAAACCGCAATAACTTGACAAGGAATTTGAATTCCACTCGCAACACTTTCGATGGTAATACTCACGCTAGTAACAATAATATTACTCCACCAATATCGAATTCGAGAACAGGCACTAAAAGTGTTAATTTAATTAACAACATGTATGACCAAGGACAGGGAAGCTTCAATAATTTAAATGAAAATAATCAGGTTAGTTAAGCACGTATTTGAATGTTTATATACACTACCTGTACCTGGCCACGCGGTGTTGTGGATCAAAACTTTTTTTTATAGGTTAAGGGTGATCACACATTCCACCTGATAGTAAGTGGCCCATAGACATCTTAATATATCCTCGATTTAGTATCAAAACGCAGATGCATTATCATCCCTAGGGACAAAGATGGAATGCCTCATTTCTATTAAAAGGGGTCTCCAGTTATCTACACTCAGCATACAAAACACGGCACCATTAAGTGGAGATGCGGACCGAGAGACTTTTGAAAATTAGGTATTTCAAGAAACTATCGCTGTCGCTCTGCGAGCGCTCGGCGCCCAATAAGGACAACTGTAGATCCGACTGAATAGCCGAAGTAGGCATAATTCGAGGTTTGGCTCTCTTACTATTTCCTCCTGCAATATTGGAGCAATTTAAAAAATATTTCATAAACTGAATAAGAAGGATATACACTGTGTCCTTATGTTTTTCTTTTATCACTATTAGTTATCAAATTTGAACACTAGGTCTGTGTTGACAGTGGTCTAAATAGGCAATTTTGAGTATTTTGTAAGGGTTCTAGTGCTTATAAAGATAATGTATCATCAAATTGATGGTCCCGTGGCGCAGTGGTTTAGTAATGAGTTGCAACGCTGGGGCGCGGGTTCGAATCCCGCACGGAACAAGTATTTGTATGGCCTACAAATAATACTTCCGGATCTAGATGTTTGTCCTTGTGCAATTTATGTTTGTTAACTGCCTCCACGATACAGGAGAAAATCCTAGTGTGGGGAGTAACGTTTTTTTAACAAAAAAAAAAGAAATACTATTACATTGCATAACACCTCGGTGTATTGTGCTATATACCAACTTATATCAAAGAATTCAATTTGTTTTCTCACAACAACTAACCCTACAGTAGAAGCGGTCTTAACAAAGGCGCGTAATGGGCTAAGTGATACAGACACTCGCACGCGGACGTAAGGTGCATTTTGATTCAAAACACGCGCCACATATATTTTTTTCGACGAAATAAACGGTAGGCTAATTTCACGAAGGTCACTTCCTAGGTGTGCAAAGTATTATGAACATTAGCTACGTTGTAACTAAGTTCAAACGCGCAAGTTTGCTATCAGTGAGTGATCCTTCTGTTCATTTAACTATTATTTATTCTGTGCTGGTGGTAAGTGGTGATGCAGCCCCAGCTGGTAAATCGCACTGTCTTAGCGTAACAAAGGCCTTGATTTAAATTTTTTGTTCTTTACTAGCGGCCTGCAATGGCTTCGCCTGAGTAAGATTTATAAATCTGGCGTTATTTAGATTTAAAATAATAAAAGACCATTTACTTTAAATCAATTTTTGATGATGTAATGTCATGTCATTATATTTAATTATATTTGTTTCATATTAAGGTACATAGAGAGTCAGCTCGTGCTCTAGGAGAAGCAATCGTAGCTGCTTGTCCTGACGCTGCAGCTGTAGAGCGTCGGCTGGGACAAATAAGAGAATACATTAGAGTTACATCTTCGCTTGTTGACACAATGCGTAATTCTGAAGATGAGGTACGTATTTAAACATCAATTTTTTTTATTATATGTTAAATTTAATAAGGTTAAAGGTATTTTGTTGGAATTCCTAATTTAGGCATTTATAGAACATACTAAAGAAGAATATGATGAACTTATTCAAATGGTGACGAAGTTGAAAGAAAGTGAAAGTAAGTTGGAAAGTATGCTAGTAAAAAAGGTTCCGGATAATGTGGGAGTTCCTCCTGAAGAAGCAATTGAATCTGATACTCATTTAGAAACAAACTCCGTTGTCTCTGAAATACCTGACAGTGTTTCATTGAATAAACTGAACCACGATGAAGGTATATCTAAAAGTAATAATGAAAATAATATAATAAATCATAATCTCAAAAAAGTAACAAATATAGAAAATGAACATTTGAATAAAACTATGTCCAATACCAAAATTAATGATGACAATGTTAAGAAAGATATGCCAAAGATAATAGAAACACTCGGCGATCAGGAAAATAAGGTCAGGAATGGTGGTGAAATAGAAGAAATGGAGTCTATTACTTGTGATGAAACTGAAACTAAACATGATGATCAGCATCTCAACGATGAGTTAAGAAAAAATATAATATCTTGTGTTGAAAAAGTAGCAATAATAGAAGAAATGAAAAATAAAATTAATAATTGTGGCAACAATCACGATCAGGTTTTGTGGATCTTTGCTAGAATGTGTGACTTTATATGTTGTTAATTAAAAAAAAAAGCATGCAGTGAATGGCAATTTTTTTTAAATAATTCATTAAAATTCATAATTACTTTGATAACCGTGTGGCGTCGTTATTTAACTATATCTAACTTAATAATTTGTGAACCAAAATGTTGTGTTTTTTTCAATCCCATTCTAAAACATTCTCATCAAAGCTCAAAAGTTTATTTACATTAACTTTAGGTTGACTTTACTCTGTCGCACACATCTGTGTCAGCTACATCTTCTTATATAATTTCTAGATTAATTGATCAAGATCCAGATTAATTGATCAAATGTTTTAATAAGAGGAAATTTTAAGTTATTATTAATGAGTAAATGAGTTTTATTTAATAGTGAATATCATCACTGAGTTGTTTGTTTGTTTGTTGTTTAATAAAACTTTGATTAAGAAACTGGAAATTAAAAACAATTTGTCTTATTTTAAACCGACTTCAGAAAAAGGAGGAGGTTTTCAATTTGACTGTATTTTTTATGTGTGTTACCTCAGAACTTTATGCCAGGTGAACCGATTTTGATGATTTTCTTTTTATTTGAAAACTGGTGCTTCTCATGTGGTCCCGTATAAATTCGAATTTTTGAGTTATCATTAATATTGCGTATTTAATTGACTTCGTCTACATTGATGATGTTCTCATTTTATTTACATTGAAGTCAGTATACATAATATTTAATTTACCAATTGTTGACTGCCTTTTCTAACACTTAAAAATTCATATTATATAATCCGTTTTGATGTATTGTTTTTAATTTTAATACAAATTTAATTCAATTACTTTTTTATTACCATTAGGATGTTGTAATTAGACCGGTCTCCGTTCAGAGCAATGGATCGACATATAGTGACAATGAATTGTGGCAAAATGAAATTAAAAATAAAATGGAGATGTCACAGATTCGACTGTCCGCTTTGAAACAACAGCAAAAAAGGCTACTAAAATACCAGGTACTTTATTGCCATTTTCTCCCAGTTTCATTTGAGTGCTATTTGGAATAGTCTTGGGGTAGTTATACTTCTTGGGATAGTTGTTGTGCTGCCTGCCGCATACTGCAGGGGAAAGTGGCTCTTTCCATTCCTAGTGGCTTTAGGATAGGAAAGAATTAGACGGCTCCGTGGCGCAGTGGCTTAGAAATGAGTTGTTGCGCTGGGGACAGCGGGTTCGAATCCCGCACGGAACAAGTATTTGTATAGCCTACAAATAATTGTTCTGGGTCTGGATGTTAATCCTCGTGCAATTTATGTTTTTAAACTGCTTCCACGACACAGGAGAAAAATCCTAGTTCGGGGGTAACGTTTTAAAAAAAATCTTTTCTGATGATGTGTATGAATCTGATACATGTAGTTTGTCATCAGCACTTTATAAAAATAAGCGTGATACGCGAGCACACAGTCCACCTGATGTTAAGTGAATGTCGTGGCCCGTAGACATCTACATCTATCCTTGATTAAGAATCAAAATGCAGATGCGTTGTTATCCCTGAGGACTAAGATAGAATGCCTTGTTACTAGTGACATGGTCCTGCTGCATTTAACGATGGTATTCTGTGAGATGTGGTCCTACCTCGGTCGAGCCGACCCATTCGTACTGCAACATAATAAAGCTGCAGCCTGCCTCCAGTCATTAGATATTATCTATCTAGCTATCAAGTACCTGCTATTAATAATCTCATTGTTGCCGGCGGCTATCGAACTTAGTTTGCTCACATACTATGCAATGCAAGCGACTTTCGTCTTCGTCGTCGCTTTTTTAATATAAATTAAATATTTGATTAAAACTTTTAATTTTATTATTATTATTATTATTTATTTGGTCTATTTGGCCCTTGGTATTGTGATTATGTCACAATAATTCTGCCAATGTCCGGTCTTTGGTCTGTCGCACCTTGTCTTTAGGCTTTTCGGTGGAAAAGGAGTTAGCGGTTATTAGGTGAAAATATGGATAAAAACAAAGCAACTAAATACATAAATTATGGACCACACAATATAGAGCAAACATCTAGTTATAGGAGAGAATTAGCCTGGGCAGGGAATAGAGAATTAGTTTAAGCTAAATTTAGTACACGATAATTAGAGTTTAATATTATACATTTGAATATATTTTGAGATCATATTGACATATATGGAATTGGGGATAGTTAAGAGGGAATTGATATTCATTGGTCGAGGGATTGTGTTGGGAAGAATGTCATATAAAGAAATTGGGTGATTTTGGCAATTAAAGAAAATGTGGTCTGGGGTACCTTCATCCAGTCCACATTCACAGAGGGAATGATCTTTGATTCTAATTTTAGCTAGAAATACAGGAGTGCAGGCATGCCCAAGCCTTAAACGGCAGATTGTAGATGTGATTTGTTTGTTCAAAAAGCTAAATTTAAAGAACCAAGGTTTTGGAGGGATTTGGGGTTGAATTTTACCAAAGTGACAACCTTTAATATGTCTGGATGTGCTCCATTCTCTGTTCCAAGAGTTCTTTAATTCAATTTGAGCTAATGACATTAGATCATGAGAGTAAATCATTAAATGAGAAGGACAGCCAGTATCAACAGCTCCTTTGGCCCAAGAGTCAGCCTGTTCATTTCCTTCTATACCACAATGACTAGGAATCCACACAATCTCCACATCAAGCCCACTCTTATTACAATTTAGTATGAGTTCCTTAATTTTCAGTATTAATGGGAAGATGGAATTCATTTTAAATATATTGCTCTGTAATGACATTAGGCAGCTTTTTGAATCAGTAAATATAACTGACTTAGGAATTTTATGGGAAAGAATATAGGAAATAGCCTCATATATGGCTACAGCTTCCCCAGTAAAAACAGAAGCTTGAGGAGGACATCTATAATTAAGGACAATTTTGTATTTGGGGATCCAGACTGCGGAACCGACACATTTGAATGGAGACAATTTGGAAGCATCAGTAAAAATATATAGCCAATCAGACCATTTTTTTGCCACAAGGTTGTAGAAAGTTCTGTTTGCAGTGGGGGAATTTTTATTAATGTTTAAATTCAGAGTGATTTTAGGGTTTATTAATATAGCTTCATAGCTGGTTTCAAAATAGGGTAGAATTAGGGATGTTACACAAGGATAACCAATATTTTTTAATCTATTTAGAGATTTAAGAATAGGGGGCCAGCTTTTATTAAACCAGTAGGAGTTGTTTACAGCTAATAGTAGCAAGGATTCTAGTTTACGATGTAAGGGGTGAGATGATAGTTGTAGAGTTTTTGAGAGAAATCTATCAGCTAGAAACTGTCTTCGTAAAGAGAGAGGGGGATCAGCACATTCTACTTGTAAAGCATTTTTAGGAGTTGATTTCATTGCGCCTGTGATAATACGTAAACATCTTGTTTGGATAACATCAAGTCTATTAAGGGCCGATTTGTTGCAGGGCTCCAAAAGAAAAGAGCCATGGTCGAAGTGACTGCGGATGATGGCATTGTATAGGATTTTTTGACACATGGGGTGAGAATCCCACCATACGCCTGAAAGGGATCTAAGAATATTAACACCTTTCTCACATTTGTCACAGATGTAATTAAAGTGAGCAGTACCAGTCATATGACAATCTAAGAAAATACCTAAAAATTTTACTTTGTTAACAACTGGAATAGATTCACCATTATATGAGATATCAATAGTAGGGAAAACACGTTTTCTACTAAAGGTTATTATTTTGCTTTTAGAAGCTGAAAGAGAGAGGCCATGGTCAGTAAGCCATTGATTAAGATAATATAAGCCTCTGTTAAGATGATGGGAGGCAGTTAGGATATCAGGAGCTGTTACATAGATAGCAAGATCATCTGCATATTGTAATATGTCACAGAAAGATGAAATCGAATGTTCAAGGTCATATGTGTAGATATTGTAAAGAATAGGGCTTAAGACCGAGCCCTGTGGTAGACCCTTCCAGATTGTTCTGGGCGAGGTTAACATTCCTTTATTGCGAATTTTGATAGATCGTCCCATGAACAGATTGTAAATGAAGTGTACAGTCTTCGCAGGGATGTTCAGATGAAGCATTTTCTGCCTGAGCACTGGAAGAAGAACACTGTCATAGGCAGATGATATGTCCAGGAAACAACCCACCAAGTATTCATTTTTAGAAAAGGCCAACCTAATATCTGTAGTTAGGATGCTCAAACTATCTAAAGTGCTTTTACCTTTACGAAAACCAAATTGACTTTTTGCAAGGATGTTATTATGTTCCAGAAACCATTCAAGTCTGTTTTTAATTAAATGTTCTAAAATTTTGCAAAAAGTAGATGAGAGTGCAATTGGGCGGTATGAAGAAGCTTCTTTGGGATCTTTTCCGGGTTTAAGGATAGGTATAACAATTTGGTTTGACCAAGACAGAGGAATATTAGATGATATGTAGATATTGTTCAGAATTTGGAGAAGAATTAATTTACCCTTAAGGCTTAATTTACATAAACACGCATAGGGTATGCCATCTTCTCCTGGAGAAGAGGATTTTAAGCCAGATAGCACAGACTGTAATTCGGACAATGAGAAGATTATCTCATTATTGTTGATGTAAGACGGGACTGGAATGGGTGGGCATATTGTATATTCATTAGGGACAAAAGGAGGAGCTAACATATCAGAGAAGACTTCTAACCATGGTAAAGAGTTATCAGAAATGTTGGAATCAGAAAGAAGGGAGCCACGAGTTTTTTTTATATTTTTCCAAACTATTGTTATTGGTGAATTAGGGGACAAGGATTCACAAAATTTTTTCCATCCATTTTTTTTCTTTTTGGAAAGTAGTCTCCTTGTTTGAGCGGAGGTTTTTTGAAATTGTATAAAATTATCGGTTGTCATACAGTGATTATAAAGCTTTTCTGCAGCTTTTCTCCTTTTAATCATAGTGGTGCACTCAGCATCCCACCATGGAGGGGAGGATAGGTTCTTGCTGTGGGGTTTTTTGGATGGGATAAATAAGTCAGCTGCTTCAGTTATATATTGTACCAATAGAGAGTACGAAGTTATTGGGTTGGTTGAGAAGTCAACCTGCATTTGCGCAAATTTAGTATCTAAAAATTTAGTGAAATTAGTCCAATCTGCGTCTTGGAGCTTATATTTAAGGAGGGGCATAGTAAAGGGTAAAGGAATAACCGCATTGGGTTTGGTAATAAGAATGGGAAAGTGATCACTTCCATATGATTGATTGAGGGTTTTCCAAGAAAGCTGAGGGGCTAGACTAGGAGAACAAGCTGTTAGGTCGACAGCAGACCTAGGGTCTAGTCCTGGGTATACTCTATGAGTGGGGGAACCATTGTTGATAATGCAAGCATTAATGTCTTCAAAAATTTGTATAAGTTCTGAAGAGTATATGTCACAAAAATGTGACCCCCAAGATACATGATGTGAATTAAAATCACCGGTAATAATAAAAGGGGGAGGTAACAAAGAGAAGAGAGAGGATAGTTCTTTAATTAAGTGGGTATTTGGATGAGGGATATATATTGAAATAATGTTGATTCCTGCAATTTTTGCAGCTACGGCATTAATGTGTTGGCTATGAGGAGGGAGTGCAATTTGAGAGAAGGGTAGGGATTTTTTTATGAGTAAGCAACAACCACCATAACCATCATTTCTATCTTCACGGAGGCAAGTAAAGCCTTGCAAGCGAAATTTGGAGTTAGGTAGGAACCATGTTTCTGAAATTGAAGCAACAGAAATTGAATGTTTATTTATTAGGAAGATGAGTTCAGATTTTTTAGGTTGCAAGCTTCTACAGTTCCATTGAAGAAGATGGAGGTCTTTTGTTTGAGTCATTTATATTATCTATTAAACTAGCTAAATTAAAGATTTTTTCTGCAACGTTGTTCGGTAGTGAATCTGACATTTTCAAAATTAAATTATTGAGGAGGGAAATTAGGCATTCAACAAGATTTTCATTTGGAGATATTTGGTTGTGCGTGTTGGATAAAGCGCATCCATTTGGAGTAGAGGATGGGCAGTCTGCAATTCTTTGATGAGCTTGTTGGTCATACCCCATGGGAATTCTAGGTATGGGGCGGGGAGGTTTGAAGATGGTTTTTCTATATGCCTGTGACATGGTGGGGAGGTTGAAGGAAGTAGTAGGAGTAGGTGAAAGCTGAGTAGAGGCCACTTCGGAATACGGTTTTTGAGGATTGTTCAATCGGATAGATGGGATTTTGGCTGAAGCTTCTATATAGGATATATTTTGTTCTGACATCATAACTTTGATAGAAATCTGCCTTTGGTGTTCCGGACAGTTTTTTTTATTAGCAAAATGATTTTTGGAGCATAACAGACAAGTGGCTTCACTTTCAGGAACAGAACAACTTGCTCCAGTATGCTCTTGGGCACAACGGAAGCAGCGTGGTTTAGAACGGCATTGATCTGCTATGTGGCCAAATCGACAACAGTGTTTGCACTGGATGGAGGGGAGTTGATAAGTTTCAACAGCAAGGGATGTGTAAAATGCATATATATATATTTGGGGAGTAACTGACCTTCAAATGTCAGAAGAATAGATTGAGTGGGAACCCATATTGGGGATGTTGACCCTTCAGCAAAAGTCTTTCTCTGAAGACGGCGAGCTTTTAGGATTTTACCACAACCAGGAGGAAGCTCAACAGCTTCTGCTAGTTCTTCCATTGACCAATCCACAGGGATACCGCGGATGACACCCATTCGAGAAACATTATAGGATGGAATAGTTGCAATCAATTTTTCTTTTGCAAGCATTGGATTATTAAGAAATTTGTTAGCCTCATCGGCTGAGCAGAATTCAATAGAGATGCGATTTCTGCCAACGCTTTTGACTCCCCCTCTTTTGATGTTTTCTATTTTATTTTTAGACAAGCATAAACCTATTTTAATTGGTCGAAGTGATAGCCCTATTCTAGGATCTGACGTAGCCCGGGAGATGTGGACAATAAAAGGGCCTTGGTCGTTTGGACCATACATTCTAAGATTTTGTTCTAGGCAGGGATGTTTATATATTGTGTTTATTGACGCTGTTAAATCAATTACAGAATTCTTTTTATATATTACTGGATCAAATGATCGAGTCTCAGCGTGTCTTTTTTTACCACGGCCACAATCATTATTGTCACTTACTCCAAAGCACATGTCTTCATCGGGAGGGTCAGGGGGTTTCTCACGAGGAGACCCCGTTTCGTCACCCATAATTGGGTTTAATGTTCGAAATAACTATAACTTATAAACGTAGACTTACAGCAGAGGAATCCACCACCACAAAATAAGGAAATTAAGGAGAATTAACCAAATACCGAAAAGCACTCACAAGTACGTGTTAACCATTCGACCGTTGGCCATAGACCTTCAACTTTTAATTTTAATTCAACTTTACCTTCTGCCAGCGGCTGCATGACACAAAAACGTCTTTATGTTCATTTTCCTGCTGTATCTCCTATTTTCCAGTCGCTGCCATTGTAATATGTAAAAATGAATTATCATTATTTGTTCAAAAAAAAAACCAATGCCCCAGAGTATCTCACTGGTTCTTCTTTGTAGAGATCCCATTTTTCGAAACAATGATAGATTTTGAGTTTAATAAGACCATCAAATAAGCATAAAATAATTTTATAATCTTAGGCTGAGGCGAAACAACAGCTGGAAGAAATGAAAGAAAGGCAAGCCCAAGAAATACATCCGTCAACTTCCAATGAGAACTTTGCTGGCATGCAGGTACACTCATGAAGTTTTATTTTCAGAGTTTTATGTTTTTACATTCGTTAATAAATTTATAAAGTTTATTCTTATAATGATTTTATTTGTTTATTCTTATGTTATAAATTTGACAACTGTTGATTTCGGCGGTAATGACATGTTTCAATGATAAGCAGACTGCTACTTTTGTTGTGTGTATTAGTGAATGCAGGGCAGTAAATTGTTTTGTAGTTATAATACGCCAGCTACATAATATGTACAAAGCTTAGAGTTTCACTGTGTACTGGCCTAACATACAATACATTGCTCATTGAATATATACTTCAAAACGTCAAATATTATTCGTTTTAAAGATTAACGTAGCTAAAACAAAGAATTTTTAATTCTTCATTTTTTTAGAATATGTCACATACTGGCAATTACAATCAACAAAACCGAATGTATGGGACCAATCAGATAGGTGTTGCCACTACTCTTCCCCAGTCATCTGATAGTATACATGGGGGTCACCAAATGGCTAACAATATTGAAAATGAACATGGCCATTCCACTCAGTCTACGCACAGCCAAGATGAGAGGTTTTCAAATAGAGAGGACAACATAAGTGAGGTAGGTTGATTTTTAACATAACGGTTTTGGTCTTCATTCCACATTTTTGTAACTTCCATTTGCGTTTAAATAATAATTGATTCATATTGAACATTATATGTATAATGTGTTAACCTGTTAATTTTGGAACCTTCTTTAAATTCAAGAAAAGCAGTAACTCTTGTAATGTTACTATAGTTTTTCCTTATAAGGATCTAATGAATTATAATAAAATAATTTGAATTATATAAATTAAACTCAAGTCATCGGTTGGGAATGAAAAATAATTTAACAACATTTAGAACAGGTCATTTTGTATCTGTTCACTGGCGGATTTTTTTCTACTGTATAAAACTCAAAAAAGAAAGGACTACCAAAGTTTTAAAGTCCTAACAGCTGTGACACGCCTTTGATGTTATGTGATGCCGCCGCCCGCATAGTTATTTAATATTTACGCCGTCGTCGCAAATATGCTAGGGGTTGTCACCAAATTGGGAATAAAATATTAAAAACATTTATTGAACAAGATAACAAGTGTTGCACTGCCAAATATTTTCGTGACACTTTCTTTTTATAGATGTTTTCAGTTTTCGATCGTTAAATTTAATTATGTAATGTACTCGTATTTGGATAAACAATTATATAAAAAAAGGAAAACATAAGCATGGCCGTCATTTGAATTCAACTTTACTTAGTAACTCATATAACTTTAATAGTAATTCACCATTATAGATATTATATTTTTCGAAAACTGCGCTTAAAATTATGTAGTACTGCATGTATTGTACGGCAGGGTTGCGCCGCCCACTGCCCCACAAGACTCCCGCCGTTGCTCTGTACAAGTAAATTCATTCCATAATTGTTACTCTCTTTAAACTGTGACTGTACCCAGCAATGGGATATTTGTAGGTACTCTCCTTTTTTATAATAAATTAGCTGACCAGGCAGACGTCGTTCTGCCCTTTCCGACGACCATTTGCTTTCCTAAAAAAAAAAACTCCTGAAATTAGCAATAAAAAAATTAGGGTCACTTATCGGGATAAAAACTATCCTTATCTCTCAAGTTGGACCAAACTGCACAAAGTATGCAAAATTTCATTGAAATCAGTTGAGTAGTTTAGGAGTTCATCGCGGACAAACAACGTGACACGTAATTTTTATATATAAAGATAATATAAATCACCCAATAAGAGCTAATAATTTTCCGCTTACCAGATGTCGCCAGTTAGGAAGTTATTTGTTACACAATATTAATAAATAATTGCGAAGTTGTGTTTTATTTAAAGTGTACAGTGAGCAGGTAAATACAAAAAAATAAATAATCGACCAAGTGCGAGTCAGACTCGGTTTCGTTCCATCGTAATACACGTTTCAAGTAAGGGAGCACCTTTAAATTTTTTTTATTTGTTGTTATAGCGGCTACAGAAATACACAGTCTGTGAAAATTTCAACTGCCTACCTATTACGGATAATAAGATACAGCCCACTGACAGATAGACTGACGGATGTACGGACTGACAGCGGAGACTTAGTACGGAGTAGTAGGGTCCCGTTGGCTACCCTTTGGGTGCGGTCCCCTAACAATGCCTCAGTGGCTTGCTTTTTAATTTTTAACCCTCTTTAAAATTTCTACTTTTAGGAATATCTGTAGTTTGGTTTATTCGTGTCTAACGTAAATGTAAAATATAGGTAATATTACAACCCTTAAATTTTCCTATCAAAAATCCCCCTACTATGAAATTTGTTAAATATTTCACCTCATTCCTAAGTAGCGCCGTCCTGGTGGCAGTAAAAGTCATGGATGCCCTCATTATCACCGTGACAAGCTTTAGGATATGATCGAAGAATTAATGAAAGTAATGATATTAGGGAAATGTATTGCAGGAAGCCGCAGGTGCGACTCGAGACAGTGAGGGTGAAGAGGACGATAGTACGCTGCATGAGCGAAGCCAAATGCTGCAACTTAAATTGCGAGAACTTCAACTTAGGAAACAACACATGGAAAACTTGGTAACTTAGCATTTCTTAAGTATTCGTGTGCCAACTTAAAAAACGTCACGTTATTGCATCAATTTCTAGAATTCGCAAAACATCTAGAACATCATAGTTGTAGTATTTGAATAGCCCCATTTAAACACAAGGATGACCTGATAAGTAAATAATTAAATAAAAGCTGAGTGCGGTTTCGCTCGTTGATATATGTATGCGCGAGACTTCGTATTAATAATACTTCGCTTTAAAAGACTTGACGGGAGGAAGGCCCCTAGCATCGGACAGGACCACAGGCCAGTTTATCTGCCGCATCTAGAGAAAAAAATATTGTCGCGACCGTTTTATCCATAGATCTACAAAGTGGACAGATATTCATAGCTCTCTATACTTCTATAGTACAAGCACTGCTTTTTTGGCAACAGAAATAGGTACGAGGGTAGTACCTACCCTGACGGACTCCTAGACATAAAAGGAATCTTACCACCTAGTAAATATATAATAATAGACCCATTTGTAACTCAATGAGCTGAACTCATTTTTATCATATATATCTATTCTATATATAAATGAGCTTGTGTTACAATTATGCATGATTGAATTATAACTTACTAATAAAGTTACTAATTAAAAATTATTTTTTGTATGTATCTATTATGTAATTATTTTTTAACAATTAAATATTTATAAATAAAATAAAAATTACTATTAATATTGAATTATATAAAAATACGAGTAGAATAGAAATAAATTTAAGTACAATTGCATGCCATAAGCTCAAAGCGCGTAGAATGTTCTACTAGCGCCTAAAAATCAAAATTCCAACGTTTTGTCGCATAAAATCGTATCTAACTACCATATTGAACATATAAATGATATAAAAAGTACATTGTCAGAAAGATAAATGTTTGTTGAGTTTATTAATATATTTTTTTAAATCGATTAATTGCTATTTTTACATAAAAAAGTGGTTTTAGTGGCATATGGTGTAGACTTATCAAGTCCGCATGGAGTGGTAAACATGATAACTTTTGAAAATATCAATTAACTGAATTTATTTTTTAATCTCTTCATCTATCATGTGGGAAGCCATGAAATGTAAATGGCAGTTTAATTTTCTTTTGTTTAATAATTTCGTTTAATAATAATTCTAAAGTTAATTTTTTTCGGCGTAGAAATCCCGAAATTTTCGGTGTTTTAAGCAGCCTTGTAATAATTTATTTTACTAAATATACTGCCTCACTCACTCAGTTCGGCCTCAGCCGCCGTCGTGAGAGGATACTCTATCCGTTGTTTGCAGCGGCTTAAAGATCGCTGTACAAATACAAAATATTCGAAAAACCAAATTTAATACATATGCACTTGATTATTATAATAATCACAGATTTTTATTGGGCCAAATGGAAGTCCGTAGTCTCTGCCTACTTCTCTGGGTGATAGGCGTGAGTGTTTATGTATGTATGTATGTATGTATGTATAAATAAATAAGGCTCCTTTTATTTCAGAAATTATCTCAAATTAAATGTGATTTATGGGCAACAACTACGCGTATTTGCGCGTTCCTGTGTGTGTGATTCAATTCATGTTTTCGTTTCTCAAGTTTTTGCCTACTGTTTACTTTCTTAGTGACACGCTTACGAATGCTTAAGTTAATAACTAACTACACGACGCGAATTATGATTCAAATTTTCCCTTTACACTTTTAACGGGCTTAGGATCGTCATAATAAATAAAATTAACAAAAATATTGTTGTTTATCAACGACATCACCGACGACTGTCATTTTGGCGTATTTAAAATAATGGAATAAACTATTTACAACTAAACTATGCAAGTAGTTCCAATAACTAATATTGGAAGGTTTCTATCAATTTTATATATCGAGCACGTTTTCTTAAATTGTTTTTTACACTTATTACCTGTGCTTGAGCACTTTTAGCTTCCGTGCACGCAGCAATAATTTTACTGTGGCAGTTTCCTTGATGTAAACACGACTCTTTATTTCATCTCACAAATAAAAGTCTAACGGTGAAAGTTCCCGAGTTTGCAGTCACGGTTTGCACGGAGGCCCATGGGATCAATCTACATATCTTCATATTCACTATTTAAATTATCGCTCACTGCACTTGTATAGGACACAATAGTTTGATTAGTTGTCAATTGTTCTTCTATTGGTACACGTAAGTTAATTACTTGCTGCGGTAAAGACTCACTTTCGTATAATCTGCTTAAAATGTTCGCATCATTTCATAGTTTTATAGTATTCGCGGTTTGAATGTTTTCGTTCCGTCATTGGTAACCAAGCGGCACTATTACTTAAAAAAATTACTAATAGCGGTAGCACGCTAGTACGGTGGACGTAGGTAGGTACCAAGCGGTCTAACGGTTAACGGAAGAGAAGGGCACGGGAAGACATGAGACAAGGTACCTAAATTTTGTAACCGATCGATCGATCTTTGCGCACCACGTAAACTTTCATTGCTTAAAATGTAATACCGTACCATTTCGTAGTATTCGCTGTTTGAATATTTTCGTTTCGTCATTAATAACAAAGCGACACTGCTACTTAGGAAAATTAAAAATAGAAATAGCACATTGTACGTGGTAGAGCATGCTGCTGCTATCTTAGTTGTATAGTTGTAGCACGAATGGGTCGGCTCGACCGGGGAAGGGCCACGCTCTCACAGAATACCAGAGTCAAATAGCAACTTAATGCTGCTGTGTTTTGTATGGTGAGTGTGGAGAACCAGATACCCTTTTTATTGGAAACGAGGCATTCTATCTTAGTCCTCACGGGTGACAACGCATATACATCTTGATTCGTAATCGAGGATAGATTCAGATGTCTATGGGCCACAGCAACCACTTACTATCAGGTGGACTGTGTGCTCGCTTGTCACCTTTATTCTATAAAAAAAAAAACTTGTACATAATGAGGTCACGGTGGTGCCGGGCCGGCCGGCAGTCGCGGGAAGACGCGCGTGAAGGTACCTAAATTTTGTAATCGAGCGACCCTTACGGCCGGGTTTACACGATAAGAGTTGGCTCGGACCGAGTCACGTCAGAGTACACTCGTACGAGTCAGCGTCATACGAGTGTACTCCTATAGTGGTTTACACGATCATAGTGTACTCTTATCAAAGTTCATTCAATTTTGTGTCAACTCACGGAACACACTGATCTTCTCAACATGGAACAGACTGATCTGCTGTTGCAAGGTGTCGCAGTTGTTGCAGATATACTAATAAAAGAGTTGAACCATATAAGCAAAGAAACAAGCAATGTAAAAAGAAAGAAGGAACGCAAGAAGAGATCGATTTGGACCCGCAAATGGATATTAAGGCGTGAAAAGCTGGGAGCATCGGATAATTTTCTCCGAGAAGTACGCATGGAAGACAAGGCCACTTACAAGAATCATTTGAGGCTGAACGGTGAACAATTTGACTATCTGTTACAAAAAGTAACGACGAAAATACAGAGAGCTGATACAGTCATGAGAGCTGCTCTAACTGCCAAAATAAAGCTACAAATAGCTATGCGCTATTTAGCAACTGGAGATAGTTTTCCAAGTTTAGAAAGTTCTTTTCGAGTTCCAAAGAGCACCATATCCAAGTTTCTGCCAGAAGTGCTAGATGCAATATATGAAGGGTTGGAGGAGTACATAAAGGTCAGTAACAAGAAATCATAGTGAAATTTTTATTTAATATCAAGCTACCTACAGTTAAAGTAATCTTAATTATTGTTTAGCAAAATAGCGATAATTCTCATTATTTTGAATCCCACCAATGCTTCGAATTGCTTTTTGTAATTGATCATCTTCTACAAATTCTGGTGATGTTTCTTGCCTTGTTGCATCACGTTGGATCTGAACTTCGATGCCTTCTTCTTGTAATGCATCATTTACTACAACAAGTTGTGATGATTCTTGCCTTGTTCCGTCACGTTGAATATGAATCTGAGATTCAAGATTATTGAATAAATGTTCTGGTATTTCAAATGTATATTCATTCGATGTCGTAGAATTGTTTCCCAATTGCATTCGATTTATTCTTTTCCGTTTTACTACTTCTATTATTTCAGACTGAACATCTAGAGCATCTATTAGGGGCAACTGTCGGAGCTGGCTGGCGATATTTTTGGCGAAAAGGGAGAATTCATCTTCTATTTCTTTATGACACAGTACTTGGTCCTTGATATTATTAAGTGTTTCAATAGACTTCTCGATATGTTGAGGTACTAATGGTCGTTTAAGTGGTCGCTTCTTCTTGATAGTATTTTGTGGCTTAACGAATATTTCACTATTTAACTGCTGGGAAGATGATGGAGTTTGAAGATCTGCCGGTGGTGGAAGAGGTCCTGGTATGTCCGATGAAGGTTCGGCGAGAATATCTGATGAAGGGGCGATGGGAATGTCTGGTGAAGGGGCGATTGGAATGTCTGGTGAAGGGGCGATTGGAATGTCTGGTGAAGGGGCGATTGCAATGTCTGGTGAAGGTGCGGCTGGAATGTCTGGTGAAGGTGCGGTTGGAATGTCTGGATCTGAAGAGCTGTTATCTGAATTCTCCTGTAACAAAACAATAATAGAAAATTAAAAATATGCCGTGTTTTTTTTTCAGATCCCAAAGACAACTGAAGAATGGACAAATATTTCGAGAGTGTTTGATAACCGTTGGAATTTTCCTGGATGTTGTGGAGCCTTAGATGGCAAGCACGTCAATATATAACAACCAATCGACAGTGGAAGTGACTTTTTTTAATTATAAAGGTTACTTTAGTACTGTACTTTTGGCTCTGGTAGACGGGAACTACTGTTTTACATATATTGATGTGGGCAGCCAGGGTAGATTAAACGATGCTTCAATATTCAGTAATTCAATACTTAAAGAGAAATTGGAAGATGGGACTCTGAATTTTCCTTCTTGGGGTGTCATTTTAGGAGACGAAGCTTTTCCACTGAAACAGTATTTGATGAAACCATATTCTCGAAGATTAACATTGACAGCCGAAGAGAAAACTTTTAACTACCGTCTTTCTCGTGCCAGAAGAATAGTAGAAAATGCATTTGGCATAATGGTGTCAAAATTTCGAATATACCGGACTCCAATATATTTGTGTCCAGACAAAGTTGACAAAATTGTTAAAGCAACTTGTGCACTTCACAACTGGCTCATGAAGACAGCCATGCACTATTATGCACCAGTGGGAACAATGGACACAGATGACAGACCTGGTTCGTGGAGACAGGAACCTAGTTCAAATTATATTGCACATGTTGTGAATCAAGGTAGTAATCATCCATCTCGGTTGGCAGAGCAAAGAAGAATCAATTATAAAAATTATTTCATTGGAGAAGGCTCCGTCCCGTGGCAAAGTAGCAGAATATTTTAAGAATATCTGTGTTCTTATATTTTAACGTGACATTATAAAACAGCTAATTAATTAAATACAAATGTTTATTGTTTTATTATAATAAATAAACTTACCACATTCTGATAAGTTTTCCTGCTTTTTATGACCCCAGATAAAAATCTGTCGGCGATTTCGTACCAAGCCAACGAAGGAACATACACATCATTAGCTCCTGATCCGGTCCCGGTAGATTTTTTAATTTTTACTTTTTCCTGGGCGTATGTGCTACAAATGTTATTTATTTTCGTGTTCACCTCTTGAATTGTAACCTCCATATTGAGGTTATGTATAATGCGCTGAATAGCGACATTCCGGGCATCTTTGTTTTTATAGTCTGAGTCGCACGTTCCACAACACTTGTTCTTCTTCATACAGTTCCACGAACCTTACAGTATCACGTTCCGTCCACTTTTTCCTTGACGCCGCCATTTTTAATTAAAATGATCCGAGCTGAGATCCGAGTAAAAGGGGAAAATAGAGCATCATCCGATTCCACTCGGATTAGATGCCGGCGTCCGAGTACGCTCGGATTACATGTTTACACGATACGAGTAACGTCCGAGTAGTAATCCGAGTGCACTCGGTCCGAGCCAACTCTTATCGTGTCAACCCGGACTACAAATCTGTGCGTGTGTAGTAAAATAATAGGCGTTGGATATTTATGAATGACAATGCATTGCCACGTATTCTGAATTTGAAAAATAAGTACAGAATTTTTGAGATATTTTTTAATGAATTTTTCTTCAACATTCGCCTATATTACTTATTCTGAACCTTCCCTGCAAATTTGGCTGTATATTGCAAAATAACCCTGTATATAAGGAAAAATTAAGTAAAAAGGATTTTACTGAATGTTACCTTCATCAGAAAAACATTCACTCTCGTTTTTAGGAAGTCGTCCAAAAAGATGTCTTTGGTGCTCATCAGTACATTGCAAGGCTGATTGAGACCACCTTTCACAAATTGACTTAATGTTCATAACGGGGTCACTTTGGCAAAGTAAATAACTGCAAAGTCTTCCAGGTGAAAGCTTCACTCCTTATTATCTATCCTTAGTCATGGATTTCAACATAAGATCTAAACAGAAGGTGGCTGAAAAGAAGAACCAAATGGTGGCTAAGCGTTTACATTCAATTTTTCCTGAAAATTCTACAGAATTTGTGGAACGGGATTCATTTGGCAGTCACCAAACTTGGCTGAAGAGTTTTAATCTCTGTGTAAGCCAGCCGTAGGCCATATAATTGATAGGGAGTTGTGGTGATAAGTTGCCGCGATCCAGGCAATAATAGTTTAATGCAACCACTACTCCTGAAAATATTAAAGTATTCTGCTGCGTTGTCACATGCGCCGACAATGCTTCAATTTCAAATGTCATAGTATGCATGGAGCTGCTATATACCTCAATTTGTACCTTCTTGAAGAAAAGTATAGTAGACTATTCGTACATACAGTTACCAATGATTTCATTTGCGAAGATAATATACCAGAAAACTGAAACTTCATTTTAATTAGGACATAAGGTACATTCGCCTACGCCGCTCCTTCTTCACTTTAGAGGCCAAGTACAAACTTGCAATGATTTACAGGTTTCCGAGTTCCGAAAACTGCAGATGGCAACTGGTTTGGCCAGCTCTCATAACACATATTCGAGTTCTGGGGAAGAAAGTGCAGAAGACGAACCACCTGGAAAATGTATGATGATTTTTGGTTTCTATATATTTTCAGTACAAATTATATATCTATGCATGTTACAAAGTATATGTTTTGTAGGTAACAAACCAGAAAGAAATTTGAAAAATGAAGATCCTTTTAAACTAATGGAAATAAAAGCTATCAAAACTGCTTTGCAAAAAACTAAAGGTAAGGTCTAAATAGTAAAACAATGGATTGATTTAAAATATAAATATAAATGTTATTTTAAACATATACTTTTTAGATTTAATGAGATCAGTAGAAACTTTTGAAGCCGATCACTTATCAAATTCGCATGAAGACTCCTTCCCTATGTCAAGCCATTCAAACATACATGATAAGTAAGTACTTTTTCTGTAAGTGATAATATGATTAATTTATACTTACGATTGTTGTCACTTGGTAAAACTTCATCTTCATTTTTGTGATTTGTATATACACTAGTACTTGTTTCACAATATTAATTTTAAATTGTTAATATATTAACTATAAAAACCGACCGGTTTCGCTTTACGTCATTTTTAGGGTATATAAGAACAACGTACCTATTTTTTTGATTACAGTTATTTAAAATAAATATTGTGAAACAAGTAGAAGTGCATAATTCAAATCACAAAAATGATATAATGTCACTTTTTTTTAGGGCGATAAACGAGCACACAGTGCACCTGATGGTAAGTGGTTGCTGTGGCTCATAGACATCTACATCTATCTTCGTTTGCCAATTAAAATGCAGATACGTTGTCAGCCATGAGGACTAAGATAGAATACCTCTTTTCCAGTAAAAAGGGGATTCACGTTCTCTACACTCTACCACTAAACAACTTTACACAAACTTACAAAATCATCAATATTGTTTAAAATAAATATACTAACCTTAATTAATAGTATTTATTACATATAATTTATTTCAATTTAAAAGATTTAAATCTTTGCTATTATGTTTATCCAAAGGATGACAAACAAGCACTCAGTCCATCTGTTGATAAGTTTTAGCTCTAAAATTTCAGTCCTCGATTTAGGGTCAGCTCACATCGAGACGTAACCCGACGCGACGCGACGCGCACTTTTTAAGATAGTGAAACAAAATATAACTTTATTTACTAAACAAAAAGATAAATTATTTTACTGAGATAATTCTGAAATGCCTCGCGGTATCGCGCTGCGCTTCGAGATGCCTCGCGGCTACGCCGACGATCGCAACGCAGCGGTGCTCCGTCGGTAGGCGCAGCATGCAAAAGCGGTGCGCTGCCAGCGACCTCACGATGCGCCTTGCGACGTCGCGATGCGTCTTGCGGTGCGGCGCCGCGTTGCGTGCTGTGAAACCGCAAGCCTCTTCAAGCATGGTCGCGTCGCGTTGCGTCTCTGTGTGAACTGACCCTAAGAATCAAAATGCAAATGCGTTGTTATCCTTAGGAATAAGATGAAATGTCTCATTACGAGATCCTCCGGTTCTTTTTATTCAACACACCATGCCATTAGCAGCATTATGCTGCTATTTCATGTATTTTCACACAAAAGACGTATAATAGTCAAAATTGGCCAGTAACCCTAATGAATTAAATTTTCATTAATTTTTCTTATAGCAAATCGGAAGGTGGTGGCAGTATGGGCGGCTGGTCGAACGAAGGTAGCGTGTGTCGAGTTCGCAATTCACTTTCCCAACGGCATAAGTTTACCAACGAGCAGCATCACCAACAACAGCAACAGCAACATCATCAACAACAACAGCACCACCAACTTCATCAACAACAACAGCACCACCAACAACAGCAAAATTACCAACAACAAAATAACCAATTGCAGCAAAATCAACAGCAACAACAACCTCCCCAACTGCAACAACCTCAACATCATCGCCAGCAGCAGCAATTTCACCAACATCAGCAGCAGCAGCAACAGCAGCAACATCATCCCCAACAGCAATACATTCAACAACAACATGAACAACAACAACCAAGTAAGAGAATAATATATTACATCATTATTGTCATCATCATCATCATCATCACCACCACCATCAGCACTATCATCATCATTATCATTACAACTCTTCACAAGTCTACTGCTGAAGATTGGACTCCCCCAAGGAATGCCAATAAGCATGGTTCTGAACTACCTGCATCCATCGACTTCCTGCAACTCTTAACTTGTTGTCATCTAGTGATCATCATATTGCATGTAACGGGGTAGTTGTCACTTAAAGACAAGTACAAGATCCAAGCACTGTTTGGCTCAAAACAGTACTTTTCAAATCTGTTAATGTCCATCTGCTTATTATACACAAATGTTAATTAGCTTTTCTCAGAAATTGTGTTGTGTTAGTAGAGATTATTTTTAGATTAATACAGTATTTGCAAATCCTGTCAAGACAACTAAACAAATGTTTTCTTAAATTCCCCTTTAGCTTCTATTTCAAAACTTAAAATATCTGAAATCTTATTTAATCATTAATTATTGTCCGTTAGTCTCGCTAAAACTCAAAAACGGCACGACCGATTTCGGTGACATTTTTTGTGCTCCCAAATGGTTGAGATTCACATTCGGACCCGGTAAGTGACGCTGTTGTCGAGATCCTGAATTCACCCATGCGATGCCGGGGCATATCGTATGTCATATAATATAATATATTTTTAAAATAATTTGGGATGTGTCATGTCAAGCAGTGGACTTTTAGAGGGCTGATGATAATATTCATTTATTCTTGTATATTTGACATATTGCATTTTTAATATCGTTAGGTCCTGAAGCTAACATTGCGAGTTTGCAAGAACTAGCACAAGAATTACGTATGGCGACTGAAGAGATAATGGGCGAACGCGCTCGTATTGAAGATATGCTATCAAATAAAGGTAAACATTATATTACACATAAATGTGTATAGGTTACTGAAAACTACAAACTACAAGGCCTTTATGTGGTAAGTTTCATCATTCCATGTGATCGAGCGTTCCAAATGTCGACGAAGAAACATACTAGAATAAGATGTCGCCTACAGTTGACCGAATAATATCCCAAAAGTTAAATTAATGGGCGGCCAGGGTGAAAAATTGATTTCTTGACGAAAATTTCTACTATTCTCGTCATAATTGAACAGTTTTAAATATTATGAAAACTCAGTCATTATATCTGATCCGACACTATACGCGCTATCTCGAAACCTTATGAATAGGGCGACGGACACCTCCCATGTCCGCCGCCAAGGCCTCGATTATATAGGCTGGAGGATCAGATCAATAGTCTCGATATTTTTCCTTTCTACTATATATATTACGAATTATAAAAGCTGTAAATGTGCTGTATGTGTTTTGTGTACTAGGGCTACATATGTACATTTATACAAGATTGGCTACGTTGTATATTTATACAAGATTTCATTCGACTTGCTTTCTTCATCTGTATGTGCGGTGCAAAATTTGCTTTAGATAATCTCCGATTAAGTTGAAATTTGATATACTTCGATGCCAATGTAAGCGGCAGCAGAGAGCAGATACAATTCGTTAATGTAACTTTGAGGAGAAATTATACGAAAATATTAAAAACATAATATAGCATTAGATAAAAATAATGGCCTTATTTTTGAGTAAAATAATAGTATTATTGTATTGTATAGGTATTAATTAAATAAATGAATTGTTATCAATTAAGGCTTGTAATGTCTTACTAGCCACAATTGATAATGTTATGCCACACACAAGTACCGAAAATAGTTTTTTTTTAAATATTATATTATTTTGGTTGATATGTTGGTGAATTTGGCATTTCAGAAGTCGAAATTTCAACGTGTCCATATTTTTAAGTCCCTGTATTTGGAATCCAATCGTACTGTTTTTAAAGTAACCTCTCTCTCTCTCTCTCTCTCTCTCTCTCTGTCTGTGTGTCTGTTTGTGTGTGTGTGTGTGTGTGTTTACAATCGATCGCTTGTGAAATTTTTTAGTCGGGCACACAGGACAAAAAAAGCATATTATTGAGTGCAAATCAATTTCATTTAAGGCCAGTGGAAAATCTTTCTATCTTTTTTTTCATATCAAGAAATTTAAACAAGCAAAAAGTGATCAAATGGAAAGTTAAAAGTTGAAACAACAATTTCATGCGACCAAGGCTTTTCAGATGCATTGTCACATATGTGAGGACTAAGATGGAATGTCTCATAGCTTGTAACTACAGTGTAATTACCCATTACATCGGAACAACAGTTGCAGCGCTGCTGCTTAATGGCAGAGATAGGTGAGAGAGCCTTACCAACCGAGATAGACTGGTGCCCTGCCACCTAGTGAATAATAGAAATCATTGCAGAAGCGAGCCGAAAGCAGAAGAAGGTTAATGAAGAAGTACGCGCTGGTCCCAGTGGTGGGCCGGGCCCGGCCGAGCGTCGCCAAATGCAACTGCGCGCGCTTCTTGCCGAAAAGCAACGTGAACTGGAAGCACTACTCAACAAAGAGGTAGGTTTCCCTCGCAGTACATTGCACATGTGACATTGTCATTTACCAGGCCAGGTGAGTGCAAGTCGATTTTCATACCAACGTTTTATAATTTAGAAGTATTGTAAATTATATCATATGAACTACAATTTGGGATTATTCAAGACAAGAGTGAACACGTCTTTTAAGCTAACGTGCTTATCACCTCAAACGTAGGCCTATTATAGATGATTAAATCTAAAAAATGATCACAAAATTGGAGCGAAACATGATTTCCGAGATGTTTTCATTACAGTGAATTTACAATCATTTGAAATTACAATATTACGTTATACAATGTATTGACTGCCGTAAACGCGGTTTCTAATCATGAGATCCTGGGTCCGAATCCCGGGTCGGTCTAGAAACAGTTACTGGGTTTTTCTGTGAAGAAATTCTCAGTAGGAGACCCGAGTCAAGAAGTTGATGGTGTTTCACCGTGCTTCGGAAAGCACGTAAAGCCGTTGACCCTGCGCCTGATCTCGGTACGGTCGTGTTGGATTACCGTCCCATCGGACGTTATGAGAGTGCACCTGTGCTTGTGCATACACTCGGGCACTATAATCCTGTCCTATGCAGATGGCTAGGTCTGTTAAGACTGATCGCTGTTACCGGAACTGTCTGGAGTAGTAGTAACATACCGCTGTTGCTTTCGTAAAATATTATTTTGGGTTTGTTGACAATCCACTAATAACTAGGTACACATTGTTATGTACTTAAGCTCAAATATCGCAAAAATTCGTATTCCCTCGACAGCGGTATTTGGCGTCAATCAACCCCATCTGAGAGGAACGGTTCAGTTCTAGGATCCACTGCACAGTATAAATAACATCTTATGACCTGTTTTTTCCAATGCACTGGAGAACACCTACAATTGTTCGAAGGTTTGTAGGACAAACTGATTTCCCGATACCTTTAAAAGTAAATTCTTATTGCAAGTGCGTTTGCATTCTGATGTACATCCTCCGTAGCTTAAAATCATGTCAGCGTACTTAGCCGCCAAATAGTTGTGTTGTAATAATAGCTGTAACATGGTAAATCCGAAGGTCTATTACAAAAGAAAGTACACGATTAACATAAAAAGGCGTCTTTGCCGCGGTAAGCCTACTGCCTTAACTGAATTCAATTATTAAATTGAAACAATAGTGACAAACGTATTAACAAATATAGTTCTTTTCACGAAAACTTTTATCCTTTATAACTTAATTCAGTAGATTCCTAATTACGCGAGCATTTGTCCAAAAGGAAATGTTGATATATTGAATTTAACGCAAATGTTTTGGATGTCGATCTAGTGCAAAGGGTTTTATCAAACCCCAAATCAAAGATGTCAAGAGAGTTATTCCGGCTTGCTACTAGGACGGAATAATTATCTTCTCATCTTCAGCATAAGTTTCTTATTAGTTTAGTAATGTAATTAGTGCTCATTATTATACTTTCTTATTTTGTTCTTTAGTGTAAGCAGTAATTAGTATAAGGTAAGATAAGGATTGGTATGTCGTTTTTACAAAAATCCATTAAAATAAATAAAGAGAAAAAAAATTATATATTGACACACATTCACGTCACCGACAAAACACCGACTAAAAGGGATTGTAGGTAATTTTCTTTTATTGATATGTAAGAAGAATAATTTATTTGATACAATATTATACTGTTTGTCCAGAAGGTGATCTGTGGTGGAGCTGAAACTCAGAAAAAGCCCGATTCGCGTGCCATGTCCGTCGCTAACCAGTCTTACAACAGGTATATATTTACACTTTTTGTTTATGTTTTTTTAGGTATATGAAACGAAACTGCCTAGTGGCGGTGTAAGAATATCCACTACTCCATATCGTCTCGTGGGAGTCGTTAGAGGCGACAAAGGTAGACAAACCAGGAGATGAGTAGCAGCTTCTTCCTAATTACAACTTAAAATTTAATAAACTGCGGTTGCCAACCTGTCTGGCAAGCGTGGCAACTATGGCAAATATTTCCCCTATGAGGGAGGACTATGTTCAACAGTGGACTTTTGTTACACTGTAACGATAATAAAACGAAACCTTATTTTTTTTGTCATCTTTATAAGAATTTGATGCATCTGTTAGTGATAATGTAACATCGGAAAGACTTGAACGATTGAGTTCATATTCACACAATATATTGATTTTGTCGAGAAGTTCATAGTTATACTAGGATCCGATAAGTGGAGCTGTAGTCAACTTATTAACAAATTATACAATTACGAACCAAAATGACTCAGATTTACAATATATATTGGATTAGTGCCAAAAAATCACTAATTCTAAATACCTAATAAGTGGCGCTGTGGTCGAGCTATTAATAAATTTTGTAATTACAAACTTTTGAAAACTCGCACCACGCATCGGTCTGCTGGGCTAGCTAGTAGCTTTATATATATTTGCGGTATAATCATCTCTCATTTACGCCGGACGTAGAACACCGATGACGGAGAGTAGAGACATCTGGTGCTGCGATTGTCAATCCGCTTGCCAATCGTGAAGATTAAGGGGCAAATTATTGCTATAACGAGGGAAGCCCACGTGATTAACATAGTTATATAGTTATACGCTATGTAGTGACGGTGTAAGAATATCTACCACTCCATGTGCTTAAAAGGCGGCAGAGGGAAACTGAAACAGGAGATGGGCAGCAGCGTCTTCTTTATAAAAACCGAAAATAATAAAAAATTGCGATTGTCAACCCGCTTGCTAAGCCTGACAACTATATCAGAATCTGGTATCATGCAATATATGGATAAGTTCTATGTTCAGCGGTGAACATATGATAGGCTGTAAAGAATGAATGAATGAATGAACATAGTTCCAAACTTTCATATATTCATATTCATAAGAAAAGAATTCTCTTCACAGTGAACAAGAAGAACAAGAATTGAGATCTGAACAACTGCCGCTAGATTCGAATAACTCAAGAGAAAACGAACACTTTCGGGTATGTTACATTTTAATGGATCTGTGCTTTAACACCGTCCTGGACTTATATGGATTTTACTTTAAATTATTGTTTATAAATAAATATAATGTCCTGGCGAGAATGTTCCACTGGAAATTAACCAACAACAACAGTGGGATATTCTGTTGGTACAGTGTGCAGATTTTTTTTCATAATTTGCATAGTGACCAATATCCGGCACGCCTTCTAGCTGTTTCGACTAAGGAATGTAGTCACTGGTTACACGCTTTAACATCAAGTAATCTCGTCACATTACTTGATGGGGAAAGCTTGCGCATCGCCGTAGGAATCCGGCTAGGAGCGGCGATTTGTCAACCCCATCAGTGCCCCTGTGGTGGCAGCGTCGACGAGTTTTGGGCTCCACGGACTTTAATATAAGAAAAGTGCTGGTAGGTTTTCACGACACGGTTCTTTGAACGATGTCTTTATAAGTGTTCCCTCTGCTTTAGAGCTCTGTGGAATATTTAGAGACGATGGCAGAACACTCGACGGTATGATATTGGCCCCTTAGTAGAGAGAGGTAAAGCCCTAGTGTGGGATACACTTGCGTATACACTTTGGCGGCTTCTCATCTCAGGGGTACCTCGCTTAGAGCCGGGGCGGCATCAGATGCAGCTGAACTGAGTAAGTGGCGCAAATATGAGTCTCTGAGAGATGACCATATATTTGTGCCATTTGCTGTAGAGACTATCGGTCTGTGGGGTCCACGTGCGTGAAGTTCCTATAGGAACTTTACTAAAGAGCGCTGGTTCTTTTCTCGCTCAAAGGCAACGTATAGCTATTCAGCGAGGAAATCCAGCTAGCGTTTTTGGCACGATACCACGAGGAGTTGGACTGTATGATAATTAAGTTATTAGTTTTAGTCTTTTTTCATTATAGTTTTTAAATATTGTATATAATTACATTTTAATATTTTTATAGCTGAGATATGACGATAGCATAAATACATTCTTTCTAATTACTTAGTTATTTCATCTTTGCCGTGTGATGTTGGCGTAGAGAACTAATGATATCATTTCGCCCCATGGCTTCCAATAAAAATCTTTTTCATAATATGCAAAATGTAAATATAGATATATTATGTACGAGTTAAAATATTAATATTTATTATTTATAAATATTTTTTTGGTTTCATCTAATTAAGTATACAAATCATTTTTAATAATAAATGTTATTGGCCCTTCTGCCACCTCCACACAAACACATGATTTATAAATGAAGCACAAAGTGTAATGCAATGGATGTACAGACAAAACGCTGACACTGTTTTAATTTTGTGTATAGATTTTGTGCGCTTGCACATTGTTTCTGTTAACGTAAAGTTGGGAACGCTTAGTATCGCTTGAACCTGTTTCGCTCCCAAATTTTGCATTGATTATCATCGCCATGGAAAGTAAACGGGGAAAAGTTCGTGATTCTAATTATGTATTTTATTTTAAAGTAGTAAACATAAACATATAAACGTAGTAATAGTATTAAAAATAATTTTCTTATCTAATCTAAATTTTGGTTTTAAGGGCGGTGGCGACAATGGCATGAGTGGCAGATCCATTAATGCCGTGCCATCATGCTTAGAAAGCAATTATGGAAGTGACACTGACAGGTACAATTTTTATTATGACTTCAAGATATTATTATTATATTCTGTGTATTCAAAACTAGGTAGCCTGGGTTAACTATGATATCAGGACGTCAAAGACCGTAGTTTTTTAAAAAAAAAAAAACGTTACCCCCACTCTAGGATTTTCTCCTGTATCGTGGAGGCAGTTTACAAACACAAATTTCACAAGGACAAACATCCAGACCCGGAAAAATAATTTGTAGGCCATACAAATACTTGTTCCGTGCGGGATTCGAACCCGCGCCCCCCAGCGTAGCAACTCATTGCTAAGCCACTGCGCCACGGAGCCGCCCATGGGTGCAGAAAAGCTACCCGAAATGTCGGGATTAAAAATTGAACACGATAATATCCGTACGATTTGTTATAAAACTGAAGTGGCAAACTAACTTACAGCTTACCTGATGGTAATGATAACGTAAAGCGTAAGTGTGATAGGCCATTACAATGTTCATGATGTTAGAAGATAAGGTAATTAGAAGTTAAATAATTGCTTATCTTGTTTGTTATTATTATTAGTACAATACGATTCAAATAAGAATAGGAACGTCAATGACCTCGAATGACCGCGATCTGTCAACTGTAACTTAAAAAGTACGGTTTGCAAAAAAAAAATATTTTCTACTTTTACATTTATTCAACTGAGTTTTAGTATTACCAAATCTATTGAAGTCATAATTACTTTTAAAAATAATTTAAACTGATTCGTGGTTCTTTTTTATCTTATCATCATCATCATTATTACACCCCTCCACAAGTCTACTGCTGAACATAGGCCTCCCACAAGGAATGCCACAAAGCATGGTCGTGAGCCACCTGCATCCAACGACTTCCTGCATGTCTTTTTCCCCGACCTATTATTATTTCAAAAGTATTTGTTTTGTTCACCCTACCCAACTGGTGGGAATTGTCAGCAATAAAGTCACAATATGGCGCCAGGTCAATCCTATTCTTATTCGAATCGCATAGCACAATATATTGAATCTTTATTTTAATGAATGTCTATATTACAGCGCTTCAAGGAATAAATCGAATCAAAGGAATAGAGCGAGGCGCCGACAGACGCAAGATCGTCTGCCTGATGATAACGTAAGAAAGTCATTTAATTTTCGAAGAGAATTTCATATCCTTTAAAATTAATTTGACGCTTATCCCAATCTTGTCACCAGCTCATAAACAATACTGCTAGACATGAGCTCCGTCTCCTGAATTTTGGAGTTTGCCATAATCGCAACAATCGCAGTATCAGACGTTTTGCACCTTTAATGCTGCTTCCCATTACCATTACGTTTGACTGGTGTCGGAAGTCACAAGATCTTTCCCAAAGTCGCCTCTAATGCCACTCAGGGATGACCGTCTCATCGAAGGCGAGTTAATTTCTTTTTTACTGCCACAACGCGATTCCAAACAGTTCAGCAAAACATATTATTTTCTAATTTGAATTTAGCAGATATGGATATAGAACCTCCAATACAACGAATACAACCTCCATACCTTTCCATCGGCTATACTTTATTACTTTCAGCAAATGTCGTAAATAAATTAAATACATTATCTTTCTAACAGCTTTTATTGTGATATAAATATAAAAAGTTCTAGACATGTCACGAGCTATTTTTTACACGACTTAGGCAAAACCTCTCTACAATGTAAAATGCCCATGTCCAGCAGTGGACATACATTGGTTAATGACGGAGGAGAAGAATTAATGAAAGTGCTAGCTAGTTACAGTTTATCCTCATCTATTTATCTATACAAATAAATATAATTGAAGTGTCTGTTTGTAATGTCAAAATAACAGCATTTTACTAATTGCATATGGAAGTATATACGATACTTATAACAAAAACACAATTTTTAAAATTTTTGTCTGTCTGTTTGTTTGTTCCAACTAATCTCCGAAACGGCTGGACCGATTTTGACGGGACTTTCACTGGTAGATAGCTTATGTTATAAGGAGTAACTTAGGCTAATTATATGATAGAAAAAGAATTAGGGTTCCGCGCAACAAAATTAAAACCCTAAATTACACGTGGGCGAAGTCGCGGGGTCGACGTCTGTCTGATTGAAAACGCATCACGCCAAAACCTGTGAACCGATTTGGATGGAACTTTCACTGTCAGATAGCTGATGTTATAAGGAGTAACTTAGGCTACTTTTAGTTTTGCTTTCCGCGCAAAAATAAATTCCACGCGGGTGAAGCCGCGGGGAACAGTTAGTAATATATTACAATGTTTGTTTCAGACATCTCAAACTAATAACGCAATCCCTAATGTGCGGCATGACACTAGGCCAGAGACGTCTAATGTCAACATGGTGCCACCGGTAGCTCAGAACGGTAAGTACTCTGATTAACCTGTTCCCTGTCCCATGCACTATATGTAGTTCATTGCTATTGTCTTGCTATTGTCTTGCTATTGTGTCTGAAAATCGAACAGTGAAAGTGTTAACATTTCAAGAAGTAATCATCAGCACACACTAAATTATACAATTGTGCGTACAGATGATGATGATGATGACTGTATCATCTTAATCTTATCCAGATGTGTAAAAGACTGTTAATCATCAATCATATGTTATCATCAATGAATATCAAAATTATGCGCACTTAATGCACAAACCATAAACATTGTAAACTTCACGTATGCACTGCTGCCTGTGACATTGATAATATAAATAATCCACATACAGCATGTGACAGCAATGTGATATAACTGAAATTAATAATTTATATAATAGAAAAAATTTGTAAAATATCAACCATTTGTCGTGACTATTTTCAAATTGTTTGTTGCTTGTACTGCAGCAGTTTACTTTTGTGTGTAGTAAAAATTGCAGAAATGCTGTTTGATTTTATTAATATTACTTAATATTTCTCGTTTTTTTTTAATTTGTAATCCATCATTTATAGGTGACAACCCAATTAATATACCGTATGGTCAGTTACCACCTCAATGCTGGAACGGCACCAAATCAAACCAGGTAATCAGTTAAATATGTAATATTATTTAAAAATTAATCTGGCGGCGAAGGTTCGTAAATCCCCTTTTTTAAGTTACATGCAGCAATATAATATTATCTTCATATTGTATTTTCAAAAAAAAGAAAACATTTCTGGATTTATAATCATAACTGAAGCTAATGTACTAAAGAAAACAGTAGCGATTCGTGGTCTAGGAGTTGAAAGACGTGACTACTACGGCGTCAGATTTTTGTATTTATTTTGGATACCGTTGTTATCCTTACAGTATTATAACACAACAAAATTTACAAATAACTTTAGAAAATCCGGTCAATAACAGTTATCCACTATGTTTGATAAGAATGTGTGTTAATAAAAACGTTTAAATCGAAATGTTTTATTTTCATAGAGCCCTCTCACTAAATATACCTGGTAATATACGTGGTAGAGCCTTGCTGCAGATATATTAGTAGTATAGTATTAGCTATAATAGTAGACCGGGGAAGGACCACGCTCTCACAGAATACCAGCGTAAAATGGCAGCTTGATGCAGCTGTCTTTCGCATGGTGAGTGTAGAGAACCGGAGACTCATTTTACGACACATCTGCATTTTGATTCTTTATTGAGGATAAATGTATATGCCTATGGGTCACAGCAACCACTTACCATCAGGTGGACTGTGTGCTCGTTTGGCACCCTATCCTATAAAAAAAATGTGAAACAACGTTATTAGTACATGCACACCATAATAATCTCTAAAAATATAAAGTAAAACGAATTTATTCACTTGTAAGTGTAGTATATCTAATAATATGAATTTAAATGTAAAATGCACTGTCAATAAAACAAAAGAAATAGAAACAATTGTTTATATTTATGTGAAATTAAGCTTAATGTTTTGTTGAAATGTGTTCTTAGAGCCAATGAAGGGATCAGCTCCTGTAAACTTAGTATTGTAAGTTCTAAATATTCTAGTAAAAATAGTTCGTAGTTCGTAGGGTGAACTTCATAAAGTGAAAGTGAAGTGAAAGGGTGGCTTTACCACTTTGTAGGTGTATTCTTTTGCTGTATATTGTACAGGTACGAAGTGGCTATGATGGGCCGGCCTCTCTAAAAGTTTGAAAAACCGACAATCGACAGGGAAGAAAGGTTCGCGAGCGGTTCCCTTCACTACATGGAGCAACGATATATTATGAGAAATACCTATGTTCAGTAATGGACTTATGACGGGCTGCAATGATGACGATGGAATGTATATAGGGTTATTTTGCAATAACCGGCCGTTCACAATAAGTAATATAGGCAAATGGTCAAGAAAATTAATTAAAATAATTCTCAAACATTCTGTCCTCATTATCTATTAAATTCAAAATGCCTGGTAATGCATTATTTTAACACATTGTTATTCATAAATATCTAACACCTACTATTTTTATAGAGTCGATCGGTCAGCAAAAACGTTGCCCATTAATCACATTCAATTTGGGATAATTTCAAATAAAACCTTATTTACTCGTATTTTTAAAAAACTGCAATAACGGTTTATCGTTATTTATATATTTGAACTTTACTTTAAAAATTGGCTACTATTTGAAAATTAACCCTGTATATTCTAAATGGCCTGCTGGATCAATGTCTATGTACAAAAATGTTTTTTTTTCTCGTTTTACTGTGTTACAAAAGTTTAGTGTGTACATTTTTAAATAAATATTTTTGTCTTTCTGTTTGCTATCTAACCTTCTCCTATTTTATTTAAAATCAATGAGGTGTAAGAAAACATAGTGTAAAATTTAAAAACTTATGGATTTGTTACAGGATATTCGCACGAACCAATTTACTCAGAACAGTCACTCGCAAACTATGGAGCGTCTTTTGGGAACACCGATGATGTCTTGCCCACCAACTATGCCTTTCAACATGATGATGCCCTATGGTAACTTGTATTTTTTTTTTGTAAGAAATATATGTTCTAGTGTAATGAAATTCGGTTAATAATAACATAATTAGGGTAATAGTATGTTTAAGCCGGTCTAGCTTATTGGATAGTAGATATCACCATTAATACATGTAACTACTTCTTCTACTACATTTTTGTTGCTTAGAAATATACATAATAAGTTATTTATTTAATTATAAGGAATTGTGACGTAAACTGCTATTAGTAGTACAGTAGAAAAATCATTTTTAAAGCTATTAGATTTTAACTTATATTTAAGGACGTGAGAGACGAACATATCCACTCAGCTTACAATGGTCGAATGACGCAAAGTCACTTTTCAATGAATGCTCATTAATTTGAATACCGTGTCAAGAAAAGTTCATACAAAATATTTTGTCACTGAATTCAATTTGTCTTTTGGTTACACAAATAATGATGCGTGTGCGAGAATCAAATGACGAGCATAAATCAAATTATTATGTTGCTGTTGAAGCTATGAATATCGACAAAAAAAAACCAGTCCATGATTATCAAAACTAACAACTTCAAAAGCATTCTACTTACGCCAACTGTGGTTTTACAATCTAGGTATTCATGTTAATGATGGAGGTAAGGAAAAGCCGTCAGTTGTACAAAATGAAAATGTAGCGGATCGCGGAAGTGATGAAGTCACAAGCGCACTTCTAAGATTAGTGGAGGCAGATCAAAGTTGATAAAACAAAGATCATTTAAAATGATTGCACTTTATGAATATGTTATCTTAAAAGGATATTACGGCTAGCAGTGAAGGACCACAACTCAAACCCATAGGTAATCACTGGCAACACGCACTGGTTGTACAATCTTGTTTCCAGGTTTTGAGTTATACCTTACGAGAAGATGTGTCATAATCTCCCAAACGCTGCCCAGACGAGTTGAATCTGCCGATTGACCTCTCGGTCATAGTTGGACTTACCTAGTTGGGCTATTTGTCCCAGGTAAACATACTCGTCAACAACTTCGAGCTTAGTGCTCCCAACAACTACCGGCATAGGTGTGACATGGACGTTACACGTGACTTTCGTTTTGTCCATGTTCATCTTAAGAACTATCAGTTGGTTGACACTATTGAGGTCGTTGATGTTCGTCGGTCGTTATGATTCTACCATAAGGGCTATATCGTCAAATCAAATATGTCCTTTCCAGCCCAGTAGCTTGAAAAATGTCTTCCAATGCAGCGGTGAAGAGTTTCGGAGATATAACGTCAGCCTGTTTTACACCTCTCTGCAAACCTATGGATCTGAGACGTGGTGCTTCACTGCTGGCCATATGAGGAATTTCAAGGTCGCTCAGCGAGCTATGGAGAGGGCTATGCTTGGGGTTTCTCTGCGTAATGGAATAAAAACGAAAATACGGAATTAGTAGACTGAAGTGGATGTAAGCCGGCCATATAGCTCCAAGAACCAACAACCGATGGGGAAGAAAGGTTCTCGAGTGGCAGCTTCGTAGGGCGTCCCCGAACTAGATGGAGTAACGACCTGGTAAGACATGCAGGAAGTCGATGTATGCAGATGGCTCAGGAACATGCTTCGTCGCATTCCTTGGGGGAGGCCTATTTTAAGCAGTGGACTTGTGAAAGGCTGTAATGATGATGATGATGAAAAGGATATTTCAAAGTAATCGATCACAAGTTTCCTAAAGTTGTCCATTTTTATTTAGATTTGGATCGTGATTTTGGTTAGATAGAAAAAGTCCTTAAAAACATCATGATACAGTATATGTTCCTGACCAATACCGGATCATAATAAAATTAATGTTTAATGTTTATGATTATAGGAATGGTGGGAGGTTGTGGCTGTGGGTGTAGTTTTTGGGGCGCGTGGTGTTGGCAGCAACTCATAATGCAGCAAAGAGAAATACACCAGTTTAGAGAGCAGCTGAGTCATGTGAGTGTCTAATATCCAAATACTCAAACGTCACTTAATTTTAAGATGCCGTAAGTCTCGTGCTGTCTCCCTCACTTTAAGACAGTGACTGTGACAAAACGAGACTTGACATTGTGGATCCAAAATTAATTGGTTCCTGATGTGTTGAAGATGCAGTGATAGCAATTTAATAACTTATAAACAAATTTTTCTCCCTAAATATATTTGCTTTCAGAATACTAACAATAGGGAAAAAAGGTTTTGAGTGACAGTCGTACTGACAGGTGTAATGTTGCGCGACCTACTATGTTTACTCTCTCTCCCACTCTCATTGTTAGCTCTCAAAATCCTAAAACTCCTATGATAATCGTTTGGTTGTTAGACCGGAAACAAGCTGAGATTCCTTTTAGTTTATAAAATGCGCAATTTTCGTGGAGATTTTAAGCACAGGACTGAAAACATAATATGCTCGATAAGTCCCGTCGACTTTGTCATTGATCATGCCATTTGGGGCGATTTTGAACGCTAAACATGATTGTTAAAATCGTTCACCTATCTTAATATATTTTTTTAATTGCTGAAATAACCTTTTACAATTTAAAAACATAGTAAGATTATGATAGGTTTGTTAAATTGTTTATATATTTGCATCGATAAGTTGAAGTTAAAATTAAAATGCCATCTGAAGTCAATAATTAAGTACTCTTACTATGTTCCTATTGAATTAGGACCTTGTTCCAAATGTATTAGGACAGACATAAAACCCTTTCATTATCCAGAGTTGATTGTTCTGAATATATTATTTAGTTTCTTGACTGATATTTGAATCATGTCTGCAAGTTATTATGGTCTTCAACCTCCTTACCTTACCTTAACCGATTCGTTGCGACACTAATTTTCGACAACTTTTAGCTGTGGCGGCGAACAAATATTTTGTGACACGCCTGTCGTGTCGAGCGCCATAGACGTTAATGACACGCCTATTGTGCCATCAGCCATGTGTAGAAAAATGTTCTTTTTTATGCTTTTTTCACTTGTTTAGACCAAATTAAGTTTAGTTGACATCAAACAAACACACACACACAAACGGAAGGCTACTTATTTTTAGTCACTTTTTTATGCAGATATTACAAACCTTTTGTACTTTTTTTTGTTTTATATAATAAACATTTATATAAGTAGGTACAGCTAAATTACCCTGAAAAACCTTGTTTTTTATTAAATTAAATTTTCACCTAATACGTGAACCTAAACGTTTGTAAATATCATACAATCAAGAACGTTAATTTGGAAAAGAAAAGGTTTATATGATTCACAAATGTTATATTTTATTTAATGTTGCACAAATGTAAAAGTAAATTCGGTCTGAAAACGTATAATTAGTAAGAATAGCAAAACAAAAGTGTTTTCAAAAAGCAAAAACAAAAGCCAGAAGCACCGGGGCTGTACGGCGGCGGATGAATAAAATACTGTATTTATTACTGAACTTCAACTCTGTTTCAAGCAAATCTAAACCTTATACCATATCACAAGAGGACATGGTACTTCGTAGGTCCATTCGGCAATATGATAGTAATAAGACGGCAGTTCAACCATTTTAAGCCAAATTAAACAATAAGACAAACGCACAATGCGTTAGTCTTATTATTTTTTTAACAGGAGACTTGTTTTCCAGAAACTTGCTAACAACTTCAGTTTATGAGCGAGGGCAATGAGTGCTATTATTTGTTACTTATTTGAGTATTTTTCCACTACATGATTAAAAAAACCCCACACAGTAAAAAGAGTACCATGAACAAGTTAAAAAGGTTGTCAACCCCTAAAAATTTCAAATTTTCAAAATATCCAGAAACGAAGCTGTAGGCATAAACTACTTGCAAAATAATGAATATTTTGTTTTGGATAAATCTTCCAAAAACGCAATTTGAGCAAGTTATAACGATTTTTAAAATGACACGACTCCTGTGTCATACGTCACACAGAAAAATAATCGATTAAAATAATAAAAAATAATCGAATCGGTTAAAATATGTGGGTCCGTTCGATTGGAGATGGACCACGAAAAATAGCAGCATAACGCTGCAAGCTCTAGAAACTAAATGGCAGCACAAAATCCAATTATCTCCAGGTAATATTCATCATTATCATTATCATTACAGCCCTTCACAAGTCCAATTCTGAACATAGGCCTCCCCAAAGGAATGCCACAAAGCACGGTCCTGAGCCACCTGCATCCATAGACTTACTGCATGTCTTACCACGTCGTCACTCCATCTAGTGGGGGGACGCCCTACACTTCGTCCGCCGGTACGAGGCTGCCACTCAAGAACCTTTTTCCCCATCGGTTGTCGTTTCTTCGGGCTATATGGCCGGCCCATTGCCAGTTCAGCTTACTAATCCTTTGGGCTATGTTGGTAACTCTGGTTCTACTGCGGATATCCTCATTTTTAAGTCTATCACGCAGAGAAACTCCGAGCATAGCCATCGCCATAGCTCGCTGAGTGACTTTGAGCTTCCTCATACGGCCAGCAGTGAAGGACCACGTTCAGTTCCATAGGTCATCACTGGCAACACGCACTGGTTGTACAGTCTAGTTTTTAAGTTTTGAGGTATACCTGACGAGAAGATATGCCGTAATTTCCCAAATGCTGCCCAGCCGAGTTGAATCCGTCGATTGACCTCTCGTTCGAAGTTGGACTTAACTAGTCGGACTATTTGTCCCAGGTAAATACACTTATCAACAACTTCGAGCTTAGTATCTTTCTTGTTTTAAAAAAAAAAAAAGTTACCCCCACACTAGTATTTTCTCCTGTGTTGTGGAGGCAGTTTACAAACATAAATTGCACGAGGACAAACATCCAGACCCGGAACTATTATTTATAGGCCATACAAATACTTGTTCCGTGCGGGATTCGAACCCGCAGCCCCCAGCGCATCAACTCATTGCCAAGCCACTGCGCCACGGAGCCGTCAACCAACAACCCCAGTGTTTCCAACAACTACCGGCATAGGTGTGATATGGACGTTACACATGACTTTTGTTTTGTCCATGTCTTAAGACCTATCGGTTGGGTACCCTCTAGATATATCCTCATACATTTCCTCCATATTCTCATCGGAATGTGCCGAAATTGGTGCGCAAAAATGTATGACCTTCAGCGAATACCGTTTGGTGATTCTGAGTATAAGGTATGCAACCCTCGTCGACACACTTAATCTTTACAAAGTTGTTAACGAGAGACTTGTGGACGATAAATCTGATACCTCGGGACAGATGGTCGCCCTCTCGGTGATGAACAATTTGCCGGATTCGAGGATCAGGGTGCGTGCGTTATATGTTGCCAGGTCGAGTCGTCTTGAGTGGCAACTGAACTTCCGCCGGAGATTCTTAGCACCCCCTGCCCCGCCGTTACCATGGTCGCCACCGTAGCCAGGAATAGCGGTGCCGCCGGGGACTGGGGGCCGTCTCTTCGTAACTTTCATCATGGGGTTTATATTGCCACAGTTGCCGCACTTGGCCAGCGGGTTGGCAACCGCAGTTTTTTATTGTTGTTTTGCTGTTATCAGAAAGATGCCGCTGCCCATCTTCTGCCTCAGTTTACCTCTGTTGCCTCTTACAATACTCTCGGGAAGATATGGGGTAGTGGGTATTCTTACCCACCACTACACTCCTACTGAGTACAGCAGAGCAGAGTCATAAAAACCAAAAAAATTAATTTGAATGAAACTAGTATTTTACGGATTATATTGCATTTAATTATCTTTTATTATATCTCTATTGTCTTAAGTTTCGAGTACTTTGTAGCAGCCTTAGTCACAGTGGGACTGAGTTGTTTGATGTCTCAATGTTATAATTATATCTTGAAGTCGTGCAGTGTTATGCTTGAGCTGAGATTTAATTTTATTAATATAGGATCCCAACCAGATGCTAGCACCCAGCTATCGTCTTTATTGAAATCAGGATGTTTTTTTTTTTCATTTCAATAGCCTCGCTAATCATCCTTGGTAGGAGTCGGTGTATCTTCGCGAGGAATTGTTTTGGTCTATCAAATCTGATGTAATATTCTGCTCGGGATCTTATAATTACTGGAATATAAGTTATCTTGACGCGTTAATATCCTTAACAAACTAGTTTTTGTTTTGGGATTAAAATTATCTTGTAACAACTGTTTTTTGTAGTTGGAGGAACGTTGGCGGGCTGAAACAGCCTCGCACACTCTTAACAATCAGGTGCCACCTGGTAACCGCGCTAATAACTATTGGGATAACTTCCGAAGGTATTACAAGCCCTATTTAACTGAATTCTTTTAATATATTATAATATGTATTATAATCTATATTTTTCTTTATTTCAGATTTTAGAAAAAACATTGTTTAATTTCTTTTTATTAAGTTTAATATAGTATTTATATTTTATTTATGTATCTATCACTGCAGTTCACATTTAAATATAGGTGAGCCCTGTGTGAGTGTGTCATTACGTAATAAAGCTTAATAAACAACTTGTTACCATTTCCCATTATTGCTCAGCCCATTCACGTTATCATGAGACAAACGTAAAAATAAAATAAAAATTAATTTAAAGAAAGTAATGTTTTAAACCTAATATTTTTTTTTTTTTACTTTTGGTTTTGTTTTGTATTTAATTAACCCTGTATTTTTAAGAGACAAAAGGTGAATATAAACAGTAGTGCATAAAATCTCATGATAATGTAAATTCAGCATAAGTTAACTAGATTTTATAATATTTTACTTTAAATTTTACCTCAACTGCCAAATTTGTAATTTATATTGGATTAAGGTTACAGCTTTTCTCTCACAAAGCCTTATGTATTTATTACGTAAAAATTAATCGCATAATTTTCGTTATTATCATACCTATTAAAAAAAAGATAATGTATTTTTAATTTCTTTTACGACCGAATTTTTTTTTTGATATTTTTATTGCATGAAGTTAATGGACCTTATTAAAATTTTACCTATACTATGATAAACATAAATTTTATGTAATGTAAAATTTTGAATCATATTGCTCAAAAGCTTCTTATTGTTTTCAGCTATTCACGTCAAAATCTCCTCTCTACTAATAGCAAGACAAATGCGGACGGACATTTAGGTACAGGATCGGCTCACAACCCTCATCCATTAGTAGAAAGATCGCATAACACCTTAAATCATGCGTCGTCATCTACTTCACCTTCTATTACTCCTAAAAGAAACACAAATACAACAAGTTCTTCGCAAGGGCCAGCCTCTCAACCACCTACTCAAGTAAACAATGAAGACCTACCAAATAGACATTCACGAAGAAATGTCACATATGAAAGGTCTTTCTCGTTCTCATCTGCCCCAGATGTTTTAAATGTAAATCAAAATAATGACACGGAATCGCACGGAAGTACAGCGACTCATTCTAGGAATGTCGACGAGAGTACCGCATCTAATATAAACATAAATCGCCAAGAAAGCACAACAAACTCATTCAGAAACTTAAACATTACGAATCCTATTCCCGAAATAATACAATCGCATTCCAATAACTTAAACAATTCTGCGAACAGTAAGAAAAAATCGTCTTCTAAACTGCCTGCCAAGAACTCAACAAACAGAAGAAACTGCTCTCTGGACTTCTCCCAAACTAGTAACATTAATATAGCAAGCACATCCGAAACGCCTAATCCTAATTTAGCATCAACTAGTCGTGAAGTTCAAGAAAAAGCTACATCAAAACTATTTGACCTTTTAAGAGAAAATGTTTATTCCGAAGTTACGACCTTGATTGGCGTTAATGAGTCTCATCCAGATTTTCTAATTCAGTTATTTAGAGAGCTGCAACTGATTAGTTCTGATCCTTTGAGACAAAAAGTTCTTCAGTCCATTCGAAATGTTCTCTCCCAATATAGTTCGATTATCGAGAATCAAAATAATGATAATGAGGATGAATGTGAAGCCGAAGCAGTCACAACTACGGCTGGAGAAACTAATAATTACCACGATTGTACCTCGCACTCGCTACAAAATGATTGCACAAACGCAATACAAATTGATAACAAAATCGTACGCTTTTTGCTTTTAAAAAGCGAAGAGGTATGCACATCTGAGTTGTTGGAGTCACTGGCGACACTCATCCTTAGCAGTGCAGCAGACAGCAAGCAATCAAAAAAGAGACTGCTAGAGCTACTGTCAAAGTATGAAGGCATGCGGATCTGTGACATATCCAGCGATATCATAGAAAACTTGTCACTTCTTATTTCTGGAAACAGTGAAGGTGATGAATCTGCTCACCTTACGAGCGAAATATCTGAATCATCTATTCTACAAGACGTTGCAGGTTCACTCAATTTGTTTAGTTCAAGTGAAACTCAATTGCATCAACTAAATACATGCCCGTATGAAATGTGGCCAGGACATGTCCATATGGACATAGATGGTACAGATTTGAATGAAAATTCTAGAAGTAGTCAAGAAGGCAAAGTCGATCTCATTAATTGTTCGGAGATGCATAATGGTGATTTGGCTGAAGCTGATCAAACTTGCCATGTGGATGCAGGAGATACTGGTATGAATAGTAATGATGAGGGTTCAAATAATGTTGAAGTTCTACCTGATGTGGTGGACACTGATGAAGCTACTCCTACAGAGGTAATTCAACATGTTCTCTACTGTAGATGTCTGCCACTCATAAATTGTGCTAACAAAAATTAATTATCATATTCAATTTATACAATGTAATCAAATATAATTTTGCTGAATATTGAAAATTATAATTAACCGTGATGTATAAACATTTTACTCATTTTTATACTTGTACACAAACTGATTTTTCAAAAATGTAATTTAACAAATACAATAAAAACAAAATACATAAAATGCATTTTTTGTACTCCAATTATTCTTTTCTTTAAATTGGGTTATTTAAATAATATAGATAGTTTAGTTATTACATAGTTTTATTCTAAATTAATCAGGTACATTGAAATATCACAATAAATATCACAATAACTAAATCGATCAAATTGGTTTATACTAAAGTAAAATATTTCCAATACAGGATGTAAAATGATATGTTTATATTAAAGGCAGAAGCAGAGTGGCTTGGGCTTGACCGTGTGCCAACAAGGCTGCATATGGAAGAAACATCTGAAAAGCAAAAAGGTGATATTAATACTTTATAAAATTGGAGCAAACACCTAAACATGGAACTATCTTTGTTCCTTTATTGTTTAGGTGGGTCCTGAAAGAAAGTTGTAATTTCATTAAATCTTCATCCGCATCTGTAACAGAAAAATAAATAAAGAGATATTAATTACAAATTTTCTTTCTTACAGGTTAATTACTGAAGAAGTATCAGGAATTGCCAGAATATTTTTTAAATTAAATCTTTTTATATACTTAAAAATATGTCATGGTGTTTACATGTTGTATTTATTTATGTAATATTTATTAAACGCAATAAACATTACATATGTACAATTTGAATTTATTTTGTCATATAAATAAAAAGCTTCCCTTTTCCTATATATTTTTATTGTAAAATACTAGAGAAATGATGAAAAAATTTTTACATAACATAGGTAGATAGTAACTTTTAAGTTTTTAATTATTCCAATGTAATTTATCACACGTTATCACTTAAATTAGTCACTGACACAGCAAAGTTGAAACATATGTCCTCCATGAATGTTCCAATATAGATTTTCCATTAAATCTTCAGCACTTGTATCCAGTCTTGAGTTCTCAGTTGTCTCAGGTTCAAGATTTTTCTTTCTTTGTACTTCTGTAGATAAAATGGACATTGCTGAATTAAATTTAAGTCATCACTACTGAGACCTAAGTCTAGATTAAATCATATGGACCATGAGACAACGAGATATATCTGGATTGTTGTGAGTAGGTCGTAGTAAACTTGGGTTGTGGGTGGCTGTCGTTGGCACCATACCCTCTGAAATAAAGTCGAACTTCATCACTATCTTTTATGTGCTTCAGAAAGGAAGCCTCAGCTTAAGTTTTGTTGCCATTTCAAACACTTTAAGTGTTACAATAATTTGTTTTCTAGCTCATCAAGAGGGGGGATTACAAACCTATGATTATGTTGAATAGCATGTAACAGAAAATAGTAGCTTTAATTAGGATATAAAATTAAAACTTTAAACACAAAATTATTTTTTTAAAGAAATTTATCAATATCTGCAACATTCATAAAGGTTTGTTATCCCTGATCTGGGACATTACTTGATATGACAGTCCGGTACATGACAAATTTTCTTTTTGTGACTATATCTTAATGGTTATCTATCTCCTACGAATTTAGTTACAATACTCATACTAAAATCAATTTTTTACATTATTATTTTGGTTACAAATCAATAATAATTAATATAGTGAAAGGTACTTATATATATGGAAAAACTAATTTCTGTGTTACATTTTATATAATAAATTACTAAAACAAAGCAATCATATTAAAATTACATTAACATCATGGTAAGTACATATTTGCATAATACCTATTATAACATATTGCATGCCTTAAGGGCAAAGCGCATAGGTATGTTTTACTAGCGCCTAAAAATCAAGATTTCAACGTTTTGTCACATAAAATCTTATCTAACAATCATATTGAACATAAAAAGCACATTGTCAGAAAGATAAATTATTGTTGAACTTATTTTTTTTTAAATCGATTAATTGCTATTTTTTACATAAAGAGTAGTTTTAGTGGCATATGGTGTAGATGTATCAAGTTCGCATGGAGTGGTAAACACGATAACTTTTGAAAATAACAATTGTTTACCTCAATCTCTTTTTTATCTCTTCATCTATCATGTAGGAAGCCATGGAATGTAAATGGCAGTTAATTTAGTTTTGTTATAATTAATTTTTTTCGGCTGCGAAATGTCAAATTTTCGGTGTTTTAGCAGCCTTGTATTAATTTATTTTACTAAATAGACTGCCTCGCTTACTCACTTGTAACTTCGGCATCAACCACCGTCGTGAGTGGATACTGTATCGGTTGTTTGCAGCGGCTCACAAAGATCGCTGTACAAATACAAAATATTCGAAAAACCAAATTTCATACATACTTGATTAATATAATAATCTGAGATTTTTATTACAATATTTTAAAAGCACAGAATAAATAATAGTAGTAAGTAGTAAAAATAAGTAGGATGTATATATTTATACTTAAATACGTCGGACTTTATGGAGTGACCTGAATGTAATGAAATATGATGATCATATGAGCATTAAGAGTCGTGCACTTTTGGATTTTCCAAACTTTTTTTAAATTGAAGTTCGACATAAAATTATCGGAACATTTGAAGTATATTAAGGTTATTAATGAAAACTTGCTTCTATTTAAACTACTTTTAAAAAATCTGTATAATAATGTTATACGTAATTTTTTAATGTGCTTAGGGCTTAGGGCATGCACAATTGGATTAGTTTTTTAATATCTATTGTTGCATAATTTTATAATAAATAATACTCGTGTGTAATGTGTATGTTAACATTGAGAAAGATGTGACAATTTTATACGCAACCATCCATACAGCTCGTACAGCTGTCCACTTTATTTTATTTAAAACCTTTTGTTACGCACGTAATTTACCGGGCGGATAAGTGCTATATGTAGGGGCTGGATCAACTCATATTTACTATTTACTGATGAACTCTAACAAAATTTATCATGATTTCTATGATGCAACAGGCTTTTTTCAAAATTTTAATTTTGGTGAAAATTAATAGATAAGAAAATTACATATTTCATTTTATTCAAGTATTGTGGGAGATCATGCCGTCGATTTTAAAGCTGAACGCACATTTGCAAGTGTGCAATGGTCGTACGGCGCGTCGTGTTTTAGAATTAGTTGTATGAAACCATATGAAACCTCGCACATTATACCCGCACTTGAAGGACGCATGCTGATGAGGTCATAATATAACGCGGCACGTTCGGCGCGTGCTGATACTCAGTGTTGTCTAATGTTGCCAGCTTAGTGGATTTTCCACTAAAACTAGTGGTATTGTCTTTCGTTTCGAATTATATTTTTGATTTAATTTCAGGAGTAAGGTACATGCAGGTAATAAGGCCTAGTTAAGGGAAAATCGAACATAAAATCAGAAATATCTAGTTTGGTTTACAGATTTCAATAAAAATCGTTAGTTTAGTACAGTTTCCATAAAGTATAAACGAGTAATTGTAACATTTGCCATAAAGAAAAACAAAATTAAACATTTTTAAAAGCCTTGCTAGTAGGCCTTATTTTAGTATGGTAGGATAATAAGGCCTACTCCTTTAACAAACTCAAATAATCAATTTATACGTAATATATTTAATATTTGTGATCAATAATCACATGAATGCAGCGTTTAAGACTTAAAATTCTAAAAAAATATATAAATTGCATCACCTAACAGTACTTTAAGTCATTAGTATAATGATGAACAAACTAACAAACTCACTCCTCGTGATTATCGTCAGTGCGTCGGTTGTGTCTTGATTTGAATTGAGAATTGGGTTTATTGTTGGGTTGAGTGTCCTCTCAACCAAATTTTTGTCACAGCGGCTAGTCTCAACGGAGACTAGCCCATTAGCACAGTACAGTATTATAGTATCCGAATGTAAGCATAAGCACAAGCACAGGTGCACTCTCTATTCCCTCACAATCCGGCACGGTCCGAGAGAGCTTAGGCGCAGGACCAATAATTTACACATAATTTAATAGCTTCTAATGTCAAAGCCTTATTTCTTCGACACACTTTGTCTTTGCACTGTGTGGACAGCTGAAACCAGGCCTTTTCTGGTTACGCCATTAGTTTAATAATAAAAGCGTACGATTTATTTGCATTTATAACATGTGATATAAAATTCTTAATAAAACAAAAAACTACACAAGAAAAAGGAGTATAATAAAGCCTATGTGAAATTTAGTAGGCTTATATATACCACCGACCAAGCATTTAAGAAAAACCAAATTAAAAAAAAAATTGACCACAATACGTTACTCAAATCTTCAAGATCAACAAAGCATTTATTCATAAATATAAAGATTACGATTTTAGATAGCTAAGTGTAATATTAAAAAATATTTTGTTGATTTATTTGGACTGATTTTTATTATTGGTGTAGTGCGGTCGTATCTTATGATAGATAATGGAACTCTGGTGGCAGGTCGCGGGGTAGCGCGTCTCTGCAAACTTGTAGACATTATCGTGCAATAAGAGTCTATTATTATTTCCTTAAACGAGTGCGGTTATTATAAATACTATTTTTGTTACTTAGGCCTTATTAACCGCAGGCACCTTATTTACTATTACTAGTGACTTTTGTGATTACTGTCTTAATACTTCTGCATTTGTATGCCCAATTGATTTTATAAATCTTGAGTTTTCCATAGAGAGATATGGTTTTAATATACGTAGCAATTCTTGAAATGTATTGTATGTTAAATGCAAATATCTAAAAAAAATGTCGTTCATCATCATCTAATAAGTCTTTAAATAAAGTATAATATCCTCCATACAACTGCCTTTTTAAATTAATACTATGAATCCAGAATCTACTTTTACTTCGAATTTTATTTTTTTTTCCTCAGCCAATAAGTGGGCTATTACAATATTTTTTTCATAGCGATCCTAGCGATTGCGAGCGTTCAATGTCACGGTATCGTTTCACACCAGTGGTTGGAAAAAACTGCAAAAGTTGTAGGCAATACAAAAGATTGCGTACGGCGCGGACGGTGCGTACGTGCAAATGTGTGAGGCCATCAGTAAAATACGGCGCGTACGGTGCTGACAAATGTGTGTTCTTCTTTAAGTAGTCTTTTAATACGGTGTGTAGGTTTGAAAATGTTTCCTTAAATTACAAATTTTTCGAATTATAGTATTTCGCCCCGCGGTGTTACCCGCGTCCACGTTATAGCGTTCAAGACAGTCATGACCCACACTTATTATGAAATCTCATAATATGGAGATCACAAGCTATGGCATGGAAACTTTCACATATTTTGAAATCGTAAAGATTGCAGATTTTAAGTTACAGTTTTAGATTAGATTTATTTAAGACTAAGGCTTTTCGAATAGGGAAAATCACTGTAACAATCTGCCTCTTCGTACATTCATCCTCCTTCAATGAATTATTTTGTTATAGCTGTGCGCTTGTGGAACTTCTTCCCTCTTACATATTCGTCGTGCTCAATCCTTATTTTCTTTTAGAAATACTAAAAGCGTATTACTTGGAACTCTTATAATTTCCAACATACTGTCATAATTTTGTATTTTTATTATTTTATTTTTAACATAATTTTTTTTAAATAATTTATGGTGTACATCCCTCCCAGCTATTCTAAAAAAAAATTAATAGCTTTAATCCCCCTATTTTACCGTTGGAAGTGAAGTATCCAAAAATCCTTAAATACGTGTTACTAAGTTTCTAATCGAAAGCATATAAAACTTATGGAAAATATAATTTAAACATAGCAGAATTTCAAACTATATTTCATCTTTAATTAATTAAGGGTAGAATTGTCAAAAATACTGAAACACGTATATCTTAGTTTTAATCTCAGACCTAAATATTTTTTTTTGTGAATTCACATTTTAAGGGTAAATAAGGGCAGATTTTGTTAAGTTCTAAAATATGTATTCTCCGCCATGCAAGTTAGAAAGCCAAGTTTTTTAAGCTAATTACAAGTTACAAAGATCATTTAATAATGTTTCGCCATACAAATATGATATAGCCCCGTAAAATAAAAAGTGCCGTACAAACTAAAA